CTACCAAAAATTATCACTTAATTGCATTGAAATTGATTAAGTTTGAATATATCATTAATTTACTTGTGTCTTACCTTAAATGTTTTAGGTATGTATCATTTGACATTATTTTACTTAGAACAAAACGTATCTGTCCAGAACTTTCCAGTTTTCAACTATCTTTTTCATGAGTAAAATCCATATTATTGTCATAAGACAATATCCCAGGCATAAAAGTCAATAAACTAAATTTTACTTGATTTCCTTTTTAATCTATTTTGATAATTAACGTTGGTTTGTTTCAATTTCATTGATTTTCTATCTATCCTCTTTTTTTAATACTTTTTTTCAAAGATGAGTGATGGTGTCTACTTCATTTTATTACTTGGTTTACTTGGCAACTATTTCGTTCCACTGCATGCTTATCATATCACACCAACAACAGATGCTCAAAAGTTGGCTAATCTTCAAGTTGCCTTTCAATTGGCTCATGATGTTGAAGGTATTGACTTAGAATATAATCAACCTGAAAGTGTATTACGTCACGATTTAAAGGCAACATTACGTTTATTATATACATTATATACTCGATATGGTGATATTCAATAAGAGAAAAAGAATTTATTTATGAATGAATCTGTATGCATCCGTTAACTAGTCATTTCTTTTTTATGCTGCATTATTTTGTTGTAAGAGGCAAAATGCATTTACTTTTCTTGATTACCGTGTGATTTTTCTTAAAGATAATCTGTATTCATCATTCAGTTTATAAATGGTAGTCTTTTTGTTCAATTTTATTCTCTCATAAACCAGTTTATTAATTTTCTGCTTTATTTGCTTTTATTATGAATTTGACAAGAAAAGGACATTATGATTAGTTTATATTAATTAGGAAACCCTGTATATCATGTTATACACCAACGAATATAAACTGAAGTACTGATATTAAAACTTATGCAGTATTAAGGTTCAAAGGTAGATGAATATAAAATATTTTGAGTGTGAAATCATTGGTGATGCAACGTTGTGTTTTTTGTCACTATCCATCCATGTTTTACGTTGTTAGTGTATAATAATAATAACGATAATAATAGTAATAATAATAATAACAATCACTTCTGTTTGGGTTATTATGTTGTTTGACTTATTTTGTGAGCTATACAAGAAATCCTTAATTCATGCTATTTTTAACTTTGTCAGTTTACTATCAACTTTTTAAAGTCTTTGTCACATAGCTCCTGTCTACTCATATTTCTTCGTAGCTATGCTTTGGTTACCGAAAAACGAGTAATTACGGTCCTATCGAAATGGTATTTTAAAGATGATTGTTTAGCTTTCAAGTACAGTAATCCCACTGCAGGTGATTGAAGATCTGAAACTAGTTCGCAAGATACTATTTTACTACTCTTAGTAATAAAACGTTATGAGTAGTAGGTACCTGAATAGGTATGATACTCATAGGTGGTCTAAACAAGCTGTCCCTAAGTTGGACCAGCTATTGTCGGAATCCTGCATTTATAGAGTTAGTGTGGCTTTATTGAATAATGTGCATGTCCATGTAACGATTTATTTACATAAATACGCTGAAAACATCCTTGTTGCAAGGCGCTTGCATCTTTCCTTATTTTGTGACTCATAGCAGATGTTAGCAGTTTCAATAACCTATGGGAGTTCTACTTTACCGTCAAGTGGCTTAATTGTCTTGACCACCCGCCTCCAAGTGTTGGGTTTAATATCACTCCCAACATTTTGTTCTTCATAATTTATTCAATTTGAGTAGTACTTATCATTCTAAGTTTGAAACCTGAAAACCAGGAGGCAACAGATGGCCTTTTCACTCTAGTGTGGGACTTCTAAGGGATGTGCATTCATAACCCCATTAAGTGTCAGACACATATCACTGGGGTATGTCGGTAGGCTCTTAACCTTTAGGTTATTTAGTTGGCATTCAGTGATATACATTTCCAACCTAAATCTATCCGAGATATTGGGCGACCATCATGTTTACTTTTCCATTTCAAGTGACACTGTTATTTCTATGGCTTCTCAATTCGTTGGTCACTGCTTCCGTTGTGTTGATATGAAGTCTGACAATTGGAAATGGCATTACTCTCATAAGTTCTATAAATTATTATTGGTTTCTTAAGTTTCAGTGCCAGTATATGGAGTGAATTTCATAGCGCTTAGTATAGGTTATATCGTCTTTTTAATGAAAAATGCAGGAATTTGCATAGCATGTTTTCATTTAGCACATATGAGTTGGATGTTTTTTTATTTCTAATGGTTATTACAAATTGCCATCATAAGGGTTTTAAGCAGGTGTAGTGAACAAGAATGAGCTGATTTCCAGCTTATGGTGGTAGGACTTTCTACACTAGTGTTACAAGTGGGGTTCAGCATTCACGTTTGTGAGTATCATTTATATTGTTGACGCTTCGACTTTGGGGGCGGGAAAGATAGTGCCCGAATCGTATTCTAATCTCGAATTAATTATGCTGTAGAGATCATTAAGAAATCACGAGACTGAAGTCGTCGATGGTTCGTGAATATAGTAGCATGCTACTGAAAAGTGAAGCACATACTTTTAGGTACATTGCTATTAATCAACATGCATATTGTGTCCGCTTGTTATTTTTCCCACTTTAGTTGGGCCTTCAAAACATACAGGAGCTGCAATACGACAAAATCATGTTTATGACGAATTCGTAATGTGTTGTTATCAATAATCTCATTGTGTAGAGAATCACGTAATTTTTTATTTGTAAAAAAATTATTTGATCTATTATTTGATTTTCGAACGACTGACAAGGGAAATGTCAAAAAGTTTTCATCGTCTGCTCCCGCGTGATCATTTACATATTAACTTGGAGTTCAAGTTAAATTATTCTTATGAACGGACGCAAAGTAGCAAATCACTGGAAATTAGTTATGATAGTTGTTTATTTCTGTCAAGTTCATTGACTTAGTGGTGCATGGAGTAGAGGATAAGTAAGCGAATGTATGAGCGTTGTCACCAGAGTACGTCTCAACGCTTCGTGAAAGACACCTCTTCCGTATACTTGGTGGAATTTTTATACTACATTTCCCTTTATAATGTAAGCATATCTCTCCACCCGACTATGCCGAACAACTTTGGTTGTCATCTGAACATTTCTGTGGAATAGGCTCAAGCCGCGATGATGCCACATTTTGGAGAAAGCGCGAGGTACGTGTCATTCTATCACTTTACATTATCTGCCGTCAGTGTGACTGAGGAGTCAATCGTGAACTCAGTGATGCAATTTTACTTACTGCCTGAATGATCCATTGAGATATGATGTAATGTTACTAGTCACGGACATTATTAGAATTAAATAGAACCACACACCCAGTTTTCAGCAAAGAAATGCCTAAATAAGTGACAGTTCCTTGTCAAAATCAACACAGGTATAATTTGAGGTGCGTTAACTACAGGGGTCCGGGAATTCTTACGATTTTGCATATTTATTAATCACCACATCGAAATTCATACCGCATATGTCTTTATGTACGTAGATGACAATAAACTGTGTAGGGTTATTTTATATAAAGTCAACTGTAAATAGAGCCTCGATGAAACATATTGCTACTGAACGATTGGAGCGTACAACATCCTGAAATTATAATATTTGTAGATAAACGCTTACCGTCGTTTTTATTATCAATGGCTAGCATGTGACGTATTCTAGGCTTTGTTGTGAATGAACATAGACATCAGTGATTAGGGTGACAGAGAAATTCACAAAAATTGTAGTTCACCGATGTGTGTGTACTAAGTTGTGGTTGGATGGGAACGGTGCAGCCCACTGGCTTGCATCTAACTAACACATAGAAGTTAATACCTAACCCGGCTTATCGTGACAGGATTACTAGGTGAATTGGCTTCTCGATGAATAATCAGTAATCCATTGATTAATGACTTGGCCAGGGTTCATAGAGATCTCATAAACCCTCTAATAATGTCAAAATACATCCGTTCTATTGACTCCTGAGGTTCTTTTAACTTCCATCTATCCACATCTTGAAACACATAAAAAAGTGCATCACATTTGTTAAGGGAAAAACCCAAAGTACTTGGGTGGTTGACAACTAGAGCTTTTAGTCTGTTTTCTTCGTCCAACTTCTGAACTTGATTTATGCATATGTTTGATCTTAAACTTCGATTTGGTATTCTTCATTTCCGCTCTGAAAGCCTATAATCTGAAGACTGTTTAGACAATTCATAACCTTTCAATGACATTTAGCCGTTTGCAACTATGAATTTTGGTTTCCGCGTTGTTTACCTGAGGGTTGCTAATTCTTCAATCAACCTTTCATTAAGAAATGATTAGAGTTGGAATTTAGGATATGATACCTAGAATGTTAATAACCTGAAATGAGTTCAAAGGTTTATCGACAACACATTTAAAAAATATAGACAGAGCTCATCATGTGATTTCACTCTTAATTTGCTATAGAAGGATAACAGCTGACTAAATAAACACACTGAGTGGTTCGGCGAACCTGAATAATTTAACTTTACTTGAAGCTCAACATTACACCGTCTGAAAGTAACTCAAAAACTATATATTTCAGAGAGGAAACTTCCATGTTAAGTATTGTTTTCTTGCCTTACAAACTTGCTCTAACCAAAGTGCTCCACCAGCTAATATGATCGCTGACCATTAGACACACAGAATCAAGTAGTGTGTGAAAAATCATGTGCGTACGTATGTATCATTATAAGGAGGACAGTCGTAAAATTCTTCCAGCCTTTCGATTCAAATGTGCTCAAAATAAAGGGTAGTCATATTACTTCATTTGCTAATACGTAAACATGTGTTAAGGACATATATGTTTCGGGTTCTTCTAACAGAATCAGTAAAGGAATTAACATATGTACAAACATCTTATAAGAATGTGGCATTTTATTGGCTAACATATCTCATGTTACATGTCATTTTCAATCGTTTTTTCGAACTGCCGTGTTTGTTTTAATGCCCCGAAATATTAGGTATTTTGTTAGCGCGAATCCTAAAACAAATGTGAGTTTTCGTGAGCAGGGATTTAATAAACTAGTTTTCATATTGATGAATGATCTTAGAGAATGTTTGTGAAATAATCATGTGTCTAGAATATTATTTCTCGCATTACGAACGAAATTGGTTGGATTGACTGTATTTTATACCTATGGTGTGCGATTTTGAATTCATGGTCATGTAGTGAACTCTATGGGCTTGTCCTGAAACTTTTGTCATTAATAGGCTGTGCATGTTATGACAAGTACTTTGGTTAAGTTGCCTAACGTGATTTATAAGAACGCCAAAAATACTGTAGTTGCTTTATTTTATGGACCTGAGGGCGACTTTTTGGTATAGTTACAGTCTAAGTAAAGGAACATTTTTGTTTTTACTTTATTTCTTTATAGTATGTGCTTTTTCTATTTCAAATATTAACAATTTCTGTTATGTTTTAATCGTTACTTTTATTTCCGATCCAATTACGAAATACCCTGGCGAAACTATTCCCAGTGCAACACAAAAAGGAGTAGCTACGGAGTGTAACATACAAACAGCAGATATGATTAATGGGTTATTTCTTCCCACTTATTTCTTGGATAATCGTCTCTTTATCCTCCATACATTCCTTTTGAAGTTTGTTACACCTACGATAAACCCTCTTCAAATTTTAAAATAAATGAGTTGGTTATCGAATGTTTTATCTGTCTTTTTTCACGGAAACATGATTTCCTAGCGTGTCGTCACATCATCTTTCGCTATTTTGTAATTCAGTGGGATTTTTTTTTGTGTCGTACTTTAGAAATTGTACTTAGATTTCTTCAACGATGGAACAAATCCACATAAAGGTTTTTGTTATCAGTACCTCTTACTAGCCTATGGTTTTCGGTTGACTTTATCTTGAGGTCACAGACCATTTTATCGATTGGTCCTAGTATTTTTAGGTTGAGACGTGTGCTGATTTTACTATTTCGTATATGTAAAATCACCAAGATATCGAATTATTTGATTTAAAACTCATTCATTTATGGCAACTTGTTGTACTTATGCTTACCCAGACTAATATCGATTTAGGTAATTTATCGTTTTCTAATACTCTGGAAGTATAAAAATTGAAATCTTCTTTACAAGCAAATTAGGACTAAAGATTTACCTTGAATTTCCAGATACCTACTATTAAAAGCAACTTGGTACACTTTAAAGGTTTATGCAAAATGTATAGTTGATATGAGATTCTTCTGAAATTTTAGGTATCGATGACCTGGTCTGTATGAAAGAAGAACGCTTCGGTCGTCTTTGAACAACTAACCGAGCTAAATTCCGGACTTTATATTCACAACGTACATGTGTATTTGGATTTAAAAACGCGTTACGGTGAGTTTAATGTCATTATTATAGCTATATAATTAATAGTAACAATAAAGGAAGTGTAGGCTGAGTACCCAAATGATTTATATCTTAACTTGGGACTTCATTGCAATGGTTTTCATGATACGCTTATATAACACCTTAGACTTTCGATATTCAGTTGTGGTTTCTCGTTGCTGTACCTTGAAAAAGCCTACAAAGTGGATTACAAATCTTGCTGAGCATCAATTATCTTATCTTTTTATGGTTTTCCATAAATTAGTTTGTATTAAACCATCCAACAAAAATTTCAGGCTAGTGAAGTGTTAATTGATGTTACTAAAAAAGGTATTTCAGGAGATTTCGCCGTCAAACTGTAGGAAAATATTGTCAGTTAAGTTGACCCGAATGATGACACGCTTCTGATGTATTGCAGCCTTTGATCCTAAGCTGTAATTAATGAAATCAATTCTAAAGTTTGACAGCAGACTGATGATTTTGTTGTACTTTCCAACTTTAAAGAATATTGATATTGATTACTTGGTTTAAGCACAGGCAGTAAATCATACTGATATGGTAATTCTTTGAAGACAGAAAATGAGTAAAAAGGAACGACTATTGATTTGTCGATTGATGATGCTGAACGTAACTCTGTGCATTAAAGGTACACAGAGTGGATTAAAAATGAAGGATAACTAGCATGCTGCTGACGTCAATATAATAATTTTATTTAACAGTATTCAGTGCTAACCACTTACACACCCTATCTTTCTTCAACAACAACTTTGTTAAAGGCTTGTAGAAAGTGCTTGATTTTGTTTTAAATTTATTTTATCGTTAGCTGCTGTGTGCTATTTTTAGCCATGTTGTTGGATACGATGATTTAGTGTAGAAACAACTTGCAAAATATAGTTTTTCACAAAACTGAAATTGCTGAAAAGTCGCATTAGTACTTGCACCATGTCGATACTATATGCAAAAACTGATACAAAGAAAAGGACTTTCGAATGATAGAGATGTTCACTTGTTTTAAGCTCATCATAATTTCTGTGTTTAAACTAGATGGATTGATGTAATATCCACAAAATTGAACAGACGTCTAACTTAACATTTAAGTGTGATAAAACCCTCAACAGGTTGTATGGAATAACGTATATCTGGTTGATCTACACCATAAAAAGCTTAAATTGTCCCACGTTGAACTTTGTCCACAAATATGTTTAAGTATACATGTTTTTTAATCAGGCAAGACAGTGTTATTATTAGAGCTGAGTACAAAGAATATTCTGCATTAATGATTAGGAATGACCTCTTATTTTAGAGCATATAAAGTGCGAAATAATTTTGTGAGGATTCTACCAACTGACGATATTCAGATGAATACGATTAATACGATTATTTTTATCTTTATCGTACACTTTTATTGTCATAAAGTATTTGTTTCAAGCCCATTAGGAGTATCATCGGTAAAGGGATTGAAATACTATTTTCAAACATCAAGAATAGACTACAGTGTATCTTTATTCTTTGAGGAGGGTTTTCGTTTGAGGCTGTAGAGGTATTACTGTAAGAACTAAAACAACTATTATTGGTTGGCTATGAAGTATAGGGTATAGTGGTCAAAATTGTAGAGATATGTCAGCGAACTTTGCTGTAAAAGGTTCTAAGGATTATTGAAGACTATCAACAATTTTGTCGTCCAACTTAGACGTTTTTGCATGTGTATTTTGCTAGCTCTAATAGGTTCCATTTATTACAAAATTGGTTTGATATTGCTATGCATTAGCTTCATCATGATTTCTTTCCGTTCAGCGGCTCATATTCATATAATTCGGAGTCTATTACGTAAGATTTCAATAGGTTCTTATACTTCTATTTCTCCAGTATGTTTGAGTTAGCTTGAAGGACTCCGTAAAACCTAGTTTTTGCCGCTTACTCACTTCCTAAAATAAGAAGAGTTCCATGCAGTGTATCATTAGAGTGTGTCTACTTAAATAGTCATACCTAAAAGAATCGAGAAGTAGAAACTTAACGAGAAGGATTGGTGGAGAGACAAAGATAAATCAAACTGATAAAAATGCGAGCTGAAACTACAACACGAACGGTTGGGAAAACCTGGGTTGTAAAGTTACAGATCTGCGTAAAATTTTAAGAAGTACCTACCATAAAGTCTTCAAGCGAATGATAAAGATCAATAAGGAAGCAGGCCATCATCGGCACTTAAATGATACTACGGATAATGTCGAATGACAAAAATTAAATATGGTTCTGATTCTCGAAGTAATGTATAGTTTCGGATTTCAGTATCTCAATTTCTTTGAGAAAATTCTAACAATTAAAAGCGGTCATCACTAACTGATTTTCCACTTTTTAGATTCATCAGATATCACCTACTCTTTAATCACAATTTCCTAAAGTGGTGAACATTTAATTACCCGACAGACTGTGTATTTCTTTGTTTTTACCTTTGTCTACATTTTTAACTGCAAATAAAAATAAGTAACATATTTATCTATCGCAATTCTATTTACCGCTTAAATAAAAAGACTCGCTAGATTTTCCCTCTTGCAAATCATTCGAGTTTTTACTTCTTGTTGTAACCTGTGGAGAGTAATGATGACCGATTGTCAGTGTAAATCCAAAATTTTAAAATTCAGTGTGCTTGGAAATAGTTTAATGTTTCTTGTTGTATATGATTATTATAAATTGAATGTTGTTCAGTATCCATTGACAGAATGATCTGAACAATTGACTTTTGAGCTCTAATTAATTAAAGCAATCTTTTTCATTTACAGTCGACCAAAACGTTCTTTAAAAGTTCACGTACAAAAGTGATTTCACTGGAAAAACCGCTATAGCCTAACGTGACCTGGACAGCTGCCGTATTCTAGTTTCTATCTTTTAGTGCACCATACACTGAAGTGATTCAATGCCGACGTGTAAATTTTTAATTACAAACGAAATTTTTTGATGTATTCGACCTTTTTCACGTAACTGTTTGTTTAGACTGAAATGAGAGAGAAAATCTATATTCTAATTTGTGTTTCCTCACAGAATACTTTACATCTCTAGAGGGAAATTAATCTATTATTTTAATCTACAGATAACTAGCTTAATTAATAATTTACTCACCTGTTTGGGTAAACCTAAATAAATTCCTACAAATCACTGTTTAAGTAACACTATATGTTTTTTTAATATTTTAGTAAGAAATCGATTATCATCGTCTTCCATTTAAATGATGTATTCGTTATTTTTTATTGAACTGTTTTACCATGGGTGAAACATAGACATACAAAATTAGATTATTTAACGAAGTTTAGTTATGTTCATGTTACGTAATAAAGGCTTATCATCGTGTTATATTTACTAACGTATACAAGTATTTCTATTCTGTTAACTTAAATGAAAATTTTATGAAAAGTTTCTTACATTTCTATATTATCTGCCTTTTGCGTAGGGTCAACTTGAAATCGGAGCTTTAAACTTTCACTAACATGATCCCAACACCTGGGCAAAATCCTTGGGGTACTCCAGGTTCAGGAGGAAATGCATTTCTACAAAGCAACAAACCCCTCATAGCTGATTTAGCGCTTGCTGCTCTTAAAGAACGTGGTGAGGTGAAGAAAAAAAAGCTTTGTCCTCAATTTCGAACAGATCGTTCATTATGTTTGATGACAAAGAAAAATCCTCTTAGAAGAGTTTGTATATGTATAGTGGATGCACGGTATCCTTTATTTGAGTATATTTGAATTTGTTTAATGGATTAAGTATGGTTTTTCTTATCCAAATAACCGAGATATATGGTTGTGAAATTTGTTTTCTGTATCCGTTAATGCTAACAGATGAACTCTTTTTATGTACCAGTGTCTATTTGGTTTAAAAATCATGAATTTCTCCAGTGACAATGTAAATTTGGAAAAAAGATCCTAATAGCTACGATATTGTGTATTCATTAACAGGAACACTACCATATTCTACCTTGATATGAGAATGTTCTACTTGTTTCAATTCTACCACGCATTTAGAATTACTCATCACAGTATTTAGGATAGTCTTTCACATTACTAAGTAACTTTTCAATCTTTATTTTTGTTCGTTAAATATATGGAGAATTTACTGGATTTTATAAAGGTGTTTCATCAATATCATCATATCTTACCAGTAAATGGATATTAGTTGAATATAATTTCAACAAGACATGAATAAGTGATAAATCGTTATTGTATTAATCGTGTATTTCAATGCTGATATTATATTATGGGATCACACAAAACTCATTTCAAGTTGTAGATTTATGATTACAGTTTAATTCATACACTTGTTCTCAATAGATGTAAAAGGATTTGTCTTTAGCTGATTTATATATTATATGTTATATAGACTGTATAGCTTCTTGTTGGTAAACATCTACCATGCATATTATATAATAACACTGAATTCAGTTTGAAGTAAAAAAGATTATCGTCGAAACTAATAAATTATTCCAACTTTATAAATTTATTCGCAGAGGATTGCATTATACCATTATTGATTTTCAGGACTGAAATCTTGTCAGTCTTTCTTGGCACAATTGCATCCTCTATGGATGCCTGATTATTACGTTTTGTTACAGACATCTCGACTTAGAAGGTCAGTAGATAATACGATCAGTTTTAAACATATAGGTAGTAGGTTCAAGTGTGATTGTAATTATGACCACTAGGATTCAGATGTATGCAGTTGACGAGTACCAAATGGGATGAAATGCGCTTCCTGGATTCCAGTGTGGTCACAGTTCAAATATACCAAGATTTTATAAGCTTGTTATAGTTTTACTTTGCTCACCTATTTAGTTGTATTCAAATAACTTTACGTAATAAATTATCAGTTTTAGGTACAACGACAGTTTCTTGTTGGATAAAACGAATCATGTCCCACAGCTTAATCAGAATTCACTCATTAGATAACTCGTTGGTCACGATGTTAATAGAGTTTTTTCAACCAGTGTAGTGTAAATAGTATTTTTCTAGGGCATAACTAGTTTAGAGTTAGTCGAGAAAGAGTTGAGATTGGATGAACCTTGCCTTTTCGCAATCAGCTGGTTTAAGCTCATGGTGTCTAAAGACTTTTGCTTTCTAATTTTGAATAATTTGAATAATGTGATTTGTAGGTTTAATTATTTGACAAATTGACATAACCACTTCACTTCAGTCAGTTGAATATGTACTACGCTATAATCAGCGTATGACTATTCAGTGTTGGTGATTATCTTGTAAGCTAGTTTACTCCTTATTTTGTGTTTTGAAAAGCTTTATTTTGGAGTTGTTTGTTGGATTTTCCGCATGTGAACAAATACACATAAACACCCTTCTGATTAAAAATGTGTCAGTTTGTCTGGAGCTTAACTGCACATTGTTTAGTTATTCAGGTACAAATAATTGTTTATAATTTAGTTCCAGAAAGATTCTACAATAATCAATATGTTTATTGAAAGTCTTTTACGCCAGACAAAATAGTTTCATTTTACTTTTTTGATCAAATATCCTATTAATCGATTTTCTGTTTAGGATTATCTAGACTTCTTAGGATCAGAGATTTTTAATATTTTGTTAATCCAAGTCATTATTATTGTCTTGTAAAATTAAAGCTTATTTCATTCTATTTTTTTATAATAAATCAATAATCTTGTATGGTGAATATAAATAATTCTTTTACCCATGGTGCACAGAATGTATAACACAAAGTGAGGTTGTTCAAAATATGTGCCTGTGTGCTTATCTAATTGTACTGGTATATACATATATGTATATTATTGTGATCTACACTTACTGAACTAAACACATGTGAACAAATTCAATCATGTTTCCTTTCAAATCGATTTTTACAAACAACGATTGTGGCTAGGCAATTATGGACACAAACCATTTTGGTATGTTTGGAGAAAACAAGATTTTGTATTATAGTAAGCCAATAGGAATTTACTATTGGGATACATAAAATGCAAACAGGTCTAACAACAGATTTGTTCATCTATGCGCTGATCGATGTTGAAAAATATATTTTTTAAGTGAAGATGGAATACGTGACATCTTCCAAATTATGGAAAAATTTATTCTTTAAATTCTTATTCAGAAAAATTTATGAATGAAATCAGTGATGAATGGTGACTAGCAGCGGAATCCAGGAAGAGCGTTTCGTCCCATTCAGGACTCGTTAGCTGGGCTTACCTGCATCCCATATTTGATATTTACTCCGGGACTCAAGCCCGGTATTGTTTGCTTCAAACGCCATCGTGTCCTAGATTCCACTGCTAGCCACCATCCGTCTTTGCTTACAATGCATGTGATTTATGGTAATAACAAGGCGTTCTGTAAATGGTGAACATATGCCACTAAGAGACGGATCAGTTGCAGTCTTAAACATCAGTAGGAAGACTAAAGCAACCAATACAAACATGAATTTATAAACAAAATACTGAATCAAAAATAAAGGAATCGAAATTATGTTCGTTTCCCTTGTTATTTCATACATGCAAACAAGTTACAATCTTCATGTTAAGAATTGTGGCAACACTTTGAGTTGTGAAATATTTTCATACTACAATGTGCTATATGTAACTGGTGATCTGCAAATCAGATGATGGAAAATAAGCAAGTTAATAAAACAATATTTTCACTAACACAAAGGTAGATGTGTTTTCAACTGCAGTTGTACTGAGTTTTAATTATAAATTTCAAATATAACGTAGAATATCATAATGCTTAGATTACATAATCTTCTACAATTTCTATTTATTAACTTTGAATTTCAAAGAAACGAATCCGATTAATTTCAGTGCTCTAATTATATTCTGTAGAAAAACAAAAATCATTCCAATTAGTTAAGAAATAAATGATATTAGAAATGATACCTGGTTAGAGACTAGGCTTAATACACTAGGTTTCATGCTAGTTAGTTTTAATAAATCAAGGTACATTTACAATCTTGTTGTATGTGATACTTCCGTAAAGGATTCGAACACATTTTAATCAAACTGAAAGGAGATACCACCAAAATATTCAGATAAACACTAATGTCTTCTAAGACTGCAGTAAACAAATCATATTTAAACTTGATAGGCATTAGGAACTAGATAAAATAATTAAATTAACACATTGTGTCATTAAATAAAAATAAAGGAAATTCAGCGATAATTCTCTTTTGGATGCAACCTCTATTTAATATTTTGAATCTTGAAGCATTTTGTTGTGCAATCTCTTCTATCTTCCTGTATACTTAGTTATTTATAAAACAACAATAAATGGAAATGTACAGCTTAAGTAAATGATTTTGTTGACTAGACAAAATAATAATAATGATCAGTTAGCTCAGATATCGGATGCTTTAGATGTCATGACAGATATAACCTAATTTTTTCGATTTTCTCTAAACAAACTTTTAATTCAAAATCTAACTATGTAATTAAATATATTACACTGCTTTTTGCAAATCACTAGGTCCAAGTATTCTTTAGTAATATTTTCCAAACTCCAAAGAAACATGGTCTCCCAAGTGATAAGTCATAACTTATATATATATATATATATATATATATATATATATATATATATATATATATATATATATATATATATCCGTCTGTCTATAATTAAAATCAAAGTGTGATTTTTATTTAATTGATATATTAAATGATCTTAAAAATGTCCTTCATGAATACATTTGAACTGGATAGCATAGATGTTTTACCAAATTAAATTTGTTGTAAAGAACGACTGAGATAAACTTAGCAAATTAATTGCCAAACAATGAATAGATTTAAACATTTAATTTAACAGTGATCGACAACCTAGTTAATTTTTTAAATACTAAAGGTTCGATTACATTCTTTTTGTGATTAAGGATTTTTAAGAGACGCTTGAAATACTTAGTAATTAAGAGTTAAGATGTGTAGAACGTATTCTATATCGATCAATCTTAACACCATTGAAAACTAGGCAGGCTGTAGAGCTGCTTCGTTTGAGTATGGGATTCGCCATAGGTGCTTATCCAAGATCTTTGAGTTTTTCATGGTGAATGATTAAGCAATAGAAACACTACATCGTAGTTTGTTTATACACATTTACGTCACCAGCCAATTTGTAATGAAAATAAGTTGGGCTATTTCACAAATTAGCTGAAGTTGTAAATCTGAAACATTGGTTCTGATGATCGTAAATGAAATGAGAGACTTTAATATTATTGATTTGATCTCTCTAGGGTTATAAGTATTGAATACTGAAGGGTTTCATATTAAAACGAAGTAGCTGTCCAGTACTCTTTGGTTTCCGATGGTACTGAGATCGACTACTGACAGACACCTTTTGGAAATTAAAATGGTCCTCACCAAACTACTTAATCAGTATATATATATATATATATATATATATATATAAGACTATGCTTCTTAATAATATATATTGGTTAGACCATTTGAATATTTTATATTGGCAACGATATTATGTAACTGTTTGGCACTGGCATTCAATCATCCTTATCCTGGAGAAGATTCGAATGCCGTAAATCAGGTTTTGGTAAGCATGGTTTTTTAATTGTAATATGGTTTTGGTTGTTACAATCATGTAATTTGATTTTTAACTTCCAAGTTATGGTAAGTGCCAGTTTTTTTATATGCATATAAAGAAAACAGCATAGTATTGCCTATTTATCCGGATAAGTAAGGTGAACGATAAGTATTAATTATAACTGTTCTGAAGTAGCGGTCTTCAGTTTGTTACTGAGACTGTTGGAAATATCTAAGTTTTAAACTGCCGAAATGTACATGAGTGGTTTAATTGTCATCAGTGTACTTTGAAATTGTAACTAAGTTACAAATAAGTTTTCATCATACTATAGTTTATTTTTTTGTCTATGTGCCGAAATATGAAACGATCGAATCACTATATTATTATTGGTGAAATAAGCGAACATGTTACTCTCTCTCTCTCCCTCTCTCTCTCTCTCTCTCTCAGAAAGACGTCTATTTGAAAACAGTTTAACCACTAATTATTTTCGAGTCACATGAATGAAATAATGTATTGTAATACTAATATATGATTCGGTTTGCTCAAAATTTTAGGTTAACGTTTTCAAACTTTGTAAGGATCGCAAATAATTTTCATGTTTTTCGGACTTATTTGGTTTGATTAATCACATATAATAACTACACTCTCTTGCAACATATTGAATGGGCTGATCTATAAAAAATTCAAGCTATCACGGTGATTTACAGTACTTTACTTCTCTTTCGTACTTTGAAGAAATGAAATGCAACCATATTGGAGTTCAAATAAATCATAGGATAAAAACAAGTGAAGTCAAAAATACATAAATAAAATGGATATAAGATTAAAATTTCTTCTGAATTGGTAGTTATGTGTTGTATGTGACCAAGCATATAGCTATAAGGAAAGCGATTGTTATTATCAATACTATAATCTTTTCGTATTATTGAATTATATCATGTATAAACAGTTTCAAATTGAAGCTTACTATGTTACTTTCACATTGCGTATCTGATTTTCAGTTTTCCTTGAACACGTATAGTTATTAACTATTCACTTAAGAAAATTTTCCGATGATTATACTTCTAGAGATTCGATGTAACTACTAGACGTCTAAAACACCCCTTAAATGTAACCCTAACATTCATTTTTAAGCAAGTCTAGAGGATTTATTTGTATAAACGGACTCTTATATTTCACTTTTTTTATAGGAAAAAATTGAACTTGCATTTGTTATAATTTTTACAACTGAATCCGCTTTAAAAATTATTGCCTATGGATTTGTCCTTCATCAAGATGCTTATTTAAGGAATTTTTGGAATGTCCTAGATTTCAGTATAGTCTTAATTGGGTATGTTAGCAGTTTATCCTGATTCAGTTGGTTTTTCTTATTTTGTAGAACATTTTTGGTCATGTTAAAAGTCCTTCTTAGTTTTAAAAAGATCTTATTATTGAAAGAAATCTCATACAAAGAGCATAAATCTGTTCTAAATTGAAAATCAAAAACTAACATAATAATGTGCATCATTTACGAGACCACTGGACACGATAAACGAGAAATCATAATTTGTAGTTAACTATTTCATCTATGATGCGGAGCTGAGTAATAGGTGAATAATCAACTAACAATAATTAACGACCATTAAAACATATATCAACAGTTTTAATGAGTTAAATGAAAGCATAAAATTAAGAAATTATAAAAATTTTAAAATCTAAATGGTAAACAAATGCACAGTAAAAATCTGCATAACAGTCCATCATGAAATAGTCTTCAGTGTTCGATGTTTTTCACTCATTTTCCCATATATTCAACAAAATCTTATTTAACAATCAAGTAATTTAAGTTTCTTATTGGAATTTAAAATATTTTAACGAAGAAAGGCTTAAATGTACTTTGAGTTATACCTGGTTAAAGTTATTAACAGAAATTATATATATATTCTGAAGTACATCATGAAATTCATAGATCGGTGCCCAAACGACAGTCTTGATAACTTTTCTCTATGGTTTAACTACAAAATGATCTACAAATATACTCATGCATTTCACGATATACTTACGTTTTAAAGGTCAAGTTGAACTGTTTTTAATTGAAGTGAATCTAAAGCTACCGTGCTACTTGTAATAAATCAAAGGAACTCATTACTTAATAAAATGTTCTGAATAATGTACTTAAGTTTAGCAGATTCGTTCATAGGTTTCTACGGAAAAAAGATGTAGTAACAATAATTTATCGACTATTTTGTCCTTTTAGTTTATCATCAAAAGCATTGGAAAATATGAATATCGATGTAAAAGCCCTTCGAGCATTTCGAGTGTTACGACCGTTGAGACTACTTTCTGGTTTACCTAGTAAGTGATTAATCTGGCATATATATATGAAATTTTTAAAAATTAAACGTTACCAAGAGCTTTTAAACTTCTATTATACTTCCGGACAATCGCAAATGATGTTTGACTTATTAAGACAGTAACGTTTCAAGCTTAAAATATTTCAATTTCATTTTTAAACATAATAGTTCTGTTTCACACTGGATAACTTTATAGAAATTCGTTTAACAACAGAGCTATGTTAGATAAGAATGTCTAAAGATTTTACAAGTCTCAATTTGTATGTAGTTCGGTTTACTGGAAGGTATACGAATTTCACTGAAATGATAATGTTCTTCTGAAATGATCTTACTGTGAAATTTTCATCGAACAATATCTAACTAGTTTTGTTTTGTTCACAAATAATTTGTGTTGTTTCACAGTTAATTCCTTTTAGCCGCAAAACCACTGTATTTTTCTTTCTGATTTTCAATTATATTTACCGTATCTAATAACATTTTAATTCCCATTAATTTTATTCAGGCCTTCAGGTTGTGCTCAACTCTATCATTACTGCCATGGTTCCATTGTTGCATATTGCACTGCTTGTAATTTTTGTCATTATTGTTTATGCAATTGTTGGCCTTGAATTATTTCAGAGCAAATTACACCTAACCTGTTATAAAAATTCAACACATAAAATTCGTAAGTTGCTCTTAAGAAATAAACACAAATATCATCATGTAACCAGATATGTCAATGTTGAACGGTTTAGTCGTCTTTTTAGGTCACGTATTTTTAAAGTGTGTGAATAATACCGTACGCTCCACTCTTTTACACTTGTTTTAAGCAACAAGTCATATCTAGTCTGTGTATTATTTGCCCGTTAGTTTTCATGCAAAGTTCAAAACCTTTTGTGACACAAATACTACTGAAGCCAAGGGGTGATAATACAGTGGTTTTCGCATCAAAGTTTATGGATATAAACACCCACAATACACATTATTTAGTGAGTAAAACCGCGTTGGGAAATATGAAAAGAAGTCACCATAAGTCATACTTTTTGCTAAGATTCTTTAGTTTCGGAATGAAAGTTAAAATCCTTTACAATATATCAGCATATGGTGTTAAATATGAAACATTTAGTATTATTAGACGCCACATAGAATACTTCTTTCATCTCCAGACCATAACGTCAAAATGTAGTACGTCTAGCGTCTAATCACTGAGACAAGTGACTACATTTCAAATGGATTCACAAAATTAAGTCAACACAGGGGACTAGAAAAACGAGACAAAGGTTACTACTTGAGGACTATATGACGTGATTTAAGTAGGTGTCCAACATTGTATAGTTTAATATCGATGTACTTTATCATTTAACTAGGGTTTACCTATTCGCAAGTGAAAGTACATTAAAGAAGTACTTTTTAGCTGTGTCATGTATTGTATACAAAATAAATACAGACAATTAGGGGTTTTTGAAGAGTAATTAACTATTTTGAATCAAGTTACTCTTCAGGTAATCAAAAATTGAATAATTCAAATAAATTCATGTTTACCAATACTCTGACATTTGCTAATCTTGAGTTTTTGCATTGGTGTTTTCAGGTAGAGTGGTAAAACCTAGTCACATTATTTCTGATTGTAAATGATTTATTTTAATTTAAACAAATTATATATTTCAAGTTTTTTATGAGAATTTTTGTGCAACAAATTCTTGTAGCTGAGATGATGCCGAATCCTCGACCATGTACATTTGAAACATCATCAATGGGATTTAAATGCAGTGAACTTGGGCCAGATTATTTTTGTGCAGATATGTATGGCAAAGAAGGAGAACGATACACTGGTCCTGAAGGTGGTATCGTTAGCTTTGATAATTTTCTATATTCTATGCTAACTGTTTTCGTGTGTATTACAATGGAAGGTTGGACTAGTACTGGGTATTATGTAAGTTGAATATTTTCTCACGCTTAATACGAATGACAATCAGATAGAATCATTTAGTGAATAGTTTGTTCTGTTATTTTGTGATAAAGAATAATATAATTATGTTTCTTAAGTATTGTGTAACTTCGAGAAAAAAACATTTTGGAGTACACAGTAAAAGTATAATCAGGTTGATGAGAAATCGGAAGCAAATTATTTAATTTACTTTTCATAAAATTATAATATTTGTTTTTCATCATTAATAAGACAAATTCAAATGATTATTATAAATGAAGTATTCATGCTGTATTTGAATTATTGTTTTATAGCTAAATTATCTAAATCTATTGTAAAATTAATTTGATAGGTGTCTGATGCTATTGGTTCCTGGTGGCCTTGGATTTATTTTGTAACCCTTATTCTACTTGGTTCATTTTTCGTTATGAATCTTGTTCTTGGTGTACTAAGCGGGTATGTAATTAATGTGATAAAATTTATTTCTATTACGACTACCAAGTAATTTTAATATCAGAAGCGACTTTTGTGGATATTATAGTAATTTCAATAGTTGAGGTCATGAGTTAATAGAAGCTAGATTACCATGGAAAACCTGGGAGCAGTGGACGGCCGTTTCGTCCTATTGTGGGACTAATCACCAGTGCGCATCCACGATCTCTCCTTGTGAGATGATAACTCAGGACCTATCAGTCTAGTATTGAATTCATTGTCTATATCAATCAAATGGTTGTACGTATTCATAATTTATGAGAACAACCAAGTTAAAAAAATTCGACGAAATTTCGATAATTGTAATTAATTATATATTTACAATTATTTGTCATTAGATAATGACAAATTTGTATTATATGGCGTTTTGATTCAAGATAGAAGTAAATTTGATTTTTAATGTGAACAACATTGACAGAATTTAAGAACTACGTACATTTTAAAACATGGAAAAATTAACTCATTAGAAAATTATATAAGTTCAATATATTTGCAGGTATATTTTGACATAAAGCCTTAAGCGATTGTTATGCAAATAGGTGAAACATGTGTAAACAATCATCAAAGAATAACACAAGGTAACACCTGAGGACAAGATGAATAATATACACCTTGAGGTTAGGTTGTTTGTTAATTTAGATTTTATTTCTTCACTTGATTTAGCTGATTATAAATGTGTTCATATCACTGATCTCACATAGACTGTTCTAAAATAAAGTGTTAATAAAATTTTGTGATAAAAATTCAGTGTTTGAGTAACATTTTTGGCAATGAAATAATTTTAATTTTCCTGAATATCTTATCAAATCTCTCAGTTTATTGACAAATCTCATGTCTAGTTTAACTATAAAATCCCTTGTTTTTACAATATTATGTTTTTTTGATAAATTAGTTTCTGTCTTATAAATCGGGATTTTCGTGTTAAAGTAATAGAGTAATCGGATAATGAAGTTCTGTTCTAAAAATAATAATCTTGAAATAAGTAAAACTGTTTGGGAGTACTCTAAGTTTATAATCTCATAGGGTAATATTTGATGAAACGGGCAACATCATTCTTCCTAGTCTGACTGCATTTATGTAGATGGATTTCAATTTCAATTTTAAAAGCTGGATTCATTTTTGTAAATGTATATACATATGTATAAAATCTTCTTTACAAAGCCTACATTTATCATAGGTTACATCAAATCATTGAGCTTGTTTTTTCTACAAATCGCTTTACAACACTTTATAAAAAATCATGAGGAAGGTTTGTTTTATTACCTAGATTGTCTAACTACTATTAATAGCTGTCTTTTTTAACAAACGTAAAAATAGGCGTTTCTGAATGCTTCATTTGAATGGAAAATCCATTTAATGTACAAAATCTGCTTCATATCACTGAAATGTTGTTATCCAATTTAAACAAATGTGGACATTCAATAGCCTATTGAAATATTCACAAATTATTGACATAGGTCTTTTTGTTGGTCACTTTTTTTTTTGTAAACAAAAAACAACAGTTGTAGACAAACAACTAAATAGAAACTACGCTACTATGCTGACATGATTTTCACATTTTAGACGACATTTTCATAAGATAAATACCACAGATGGCATTGTATATTGATTGTAAAGTCATTATGAATCAATTGAAGTGGAAAATCTGAATTTTTTCAAGATGATAAGCTAACATAAAATTACATTTCAAGCGATTCATGAATAATTTGAACTTCATTTTTTGCATGTAATCATGATTATTCACTGTTGTATAATACCAAAGTAAAATAAAACAGATTTCTCAGTAATTTTTCTATGCACTCTAATTAAGCCTATTTCGTCAATGTTATTATATATATATATTTTGCTAATATCATTCAGTAATGAATGAAACTAATTTCGATAGAACAATGAGAAAACGGAGTTGATCTGAAAAATGTGATGTATGTGAGCTATACATTTCGAACAATCTGATCACATATATACTTGTCAGGGTATTTTATATGAAAATTAATAATGGTCAATTAAATGAAAGTCCAAGTAAAAAGTAACAAAGGGGAGAAACAATTTTACATAGTATAGAAAGACCAAGGAATTGTCGCGTTATCCTAGGCGATAGAATGACTTAAGGATTACCAAGGTAAATTCAAGATTACGACAAATTGTTTTTGTACACATAAGAGGGGTTTAAATTTACCTTGAATTTATATATGTGTGTATATGTATGACCAGAATGTTGGAAATGTATAGCGCAAATATATCACATATTTCAGATCAACTCCGTCTTCTCATTGTTGTATCGAAATTTATAAAAGGGACTAATTGCTTTTAATGAAACTAATATCGTATTGACAGTTTAAAAATACTTTAAGTAAGCTTATTTCTCCCATGTTATTGTATATTTCTGTTTTCCAGAGAATTCAGTAAGGAAAAAGAAAAAATAGATCGTACCTTATTGTTTCGTAAAGAAAGACAAGAAAAACGTGAACAACAAGATTATATGGGTTATAAAGAATGGATTGAATTAGCTGGTAAATTAATTAACTGATTAGTAATATTGATTATTTACATTGTAATATAGTTAAAAGTATTGTTTGAGAAACAATACGTAGATTATCGATAGAAATTGATCATTTTCACGTTAATAAAGTTGAATCCTAATTTGTAATGATTTGGATTATCCCGCTGTTGATATTTTGGCTGGATTCTCATTAGTCTTAGACGTTTAATGTACATGCTGTGTGGATCGCCTCGATATAGCTATTTTTTCACAAGTTTATATAGAATAGGTGGAATTTGAATCTCGAAGTAGACATCAACTTCGGGACTCAAGTACATTATCTGACGAGTCCCAGATAGGACGAAATAGGTGTCTAATGTTAAAGACATTTAAACTATTCTATATGAATTAAAATTATAGTATGTTGACGTAATTATCTCGTAAATGCAAGGACATTTCACTATTACGTAGTTAAATAAAATTTGTAGTTATAGTATGTGATCTCCCTAAGTCAAAAAAGTTTTCGTTCACAGTTGGAAGAAACGACAGTTGATTTTGACACTGAAACAAACTGATAGATTACTTAAGTAAGGCTTATTCTGATACAAATTATCCAAATAGGTTTTAAGTTCAAGGCATCGGGAATGTTTAAAGAGTCCCATACAGTAAAACCATGTCGCATAAAAGTTCTCATATGATTCTCATATATTCACGACACAATAAACTGCATTCTCTTGGTTCTGGAGAACTGAAAAAAGTTTGAATAATGAAAGTCTACAAGCCTTTGTTATGTGTAACCAAGTATAATGTAATAGAACAATGTACGGGATTTATATGAATGGTTACTCAGATTAATAATAAACGTTATTAAATGTCACAATTTCTTCTTAGGTTGTTGATCTTAAGAATCATTTTTAAAATATGAATAAACACATTTTTGAGCTATCATATATAATAGCATAGACATATTCATATCTTGAAGATTCCGCCAGTTAGAATCTTTGTTCTTGCTCTCTTCAAGATGATAAAGGGGACTATTTGTATAAAATATTCATATCCGTTAGGATGTTGGTAGGAAACTGTGGGTTTACATTTTGTTCTGTGAGGGATTCGTTAACAAGGCACACCTTCACTCTTGATGGAATCACCTCTACAATCTCAGTTGTTTCCACAAATCCGTAGTGTCCGAACAACACCAAAGGACTAAATATGGTAACTTTATAGAATTCGACCAGTATTAAGGATTAAACAAACGCGTTATTATTCAGTAGTCAAACAGTGTAGCTATATCAATGTACGTAATATTTTAAATATGTTTGAACTGCTATGATACGTGATTCATGTATTTCCAAAATTCTTAGGATTAATTCTGAAAAATATGACCTCATCAAGAATACTTTTCTCTTTTTTCTGAAGCTTATTCATTCACTAGAACAACTGTTTTATTCACTTATTATTGTTATGGCAACCTACTGAAAAAACATAACCGTTTAGTGACGCAATGAGAATAGTAGTGATAGTATAATGTGAAATGAAATCGTAAAAATTCAGATTATCATATTACTTAAACTAATAAAGAGATGCAAAACTTTATAATAAGTGACTTAATCCGGGCTCCTTTTGATCGAGTTTTATTTCTACTCGGATAAAAAAATATTTTCCACTACTTGATATAACATCTTCATATTACACTTATCAAGACTTATTTAGTTATTCAGTAACGTATTTCCTATTGATTTCTTCTCAGTCTTAGTTTGCTCAATTTTTTGTCCTAACGTTTTGGTTTTCTTTACCAGGAGACAAAACTGTTCAAATTTAAAGTAAAATGTTTTGCAAAATAGTAGTTAGTAAATGTTGTTTTTGTAAAAACAATTCATTACTTATTGTGCATTTTATTGAAAAAAGAATAATTCTTGTGATTTACATTGTACATATGTGTATTTTTACATGTATACGCATTCAGGTTGAAAATCTGCTTTGTGTGTGTATATATGTATGTAAAATAAAAGGTGGACACATCAATCAATAATAAACTTAGTGTTGTGCTCCATATATTGCTCTCTTGTTAGTATGATTCATTCACTTTTAATGAGTAAATCATTGTTGTCAACCTCCTTCACTATTTATTATCGTTGTTATTGTTGTTACTACGACTGTTAATATGTTTATGTCTTAACTACAATATTATCACATTGTTTTTTAACTGTGAACAGAAAACAATCCATCGAATTTCCGCCATGTTTCTTATGATTTCTATTTCTTGAAATTTCATTTTAGAGGAACTAAGTGATTCTGAAGGTGATGATAAGGAAAGTCAAGATATAGAATCAGGTTAGTTTTCTTATATCATTTGATAATTGTCAACCGATAGAATATATTCGTACCTCAAATGTCACATCAATCGTAGTGTGTCAATATCTGACACAATCTTTTAATAGATTCAAAAAGCTAGATTGGCTTTTATCAATTTGCTTCACCCGAATCGTAAACTAGATATCTATTTGTCCGTCAACGTACGGGCTTAATGAACACCAATTTGCTCTGTTTGACTTTATAGGCGTGAAACGTGGCTAATTAAAAGGAAAGGATATTTTTAAGTTTGTTATTATTTGACGATAGGTTTATTCAAAGGGTAGATGGTGTATATTGGGACTATTGAGTGAGCAATACCGAGGTTAGGGATAGGGTACTAAGTAAATAAGGCAAATCAATTAATGAGGTTGTGAGTTTTCATCATCTGATGTTGTTAGGACATGGTTATATATATTTAACCACCGCCTACATCGGCGGGAGGTATTATCTATTATGGGAATAGGGTAGAAGAAAAGTAAAGGGAGACAAACTGAGGACTTAGATCAGTCCACGAAACCATCGAAAGGCGAACTAAACCATGTAGGCGTATGCAGACTGTCTGGCAAAGGTTCGAGCGATTTTTAACCAGTGATTGACAACAATGAGTGACATGTATCAGAGTTGATCGCTGTTTGATAGACCATATTTCCTTTGCTTTGAATTAGGGTAGAGATTTGTAGCTCAGGTGGATGATTATGGTGGAGTAGAAGACTTCTATCTGAAGTTTGTGCTGATGATTTCGTTTAGAATAATGATGAAAGTACCATGAGCAAACTATCCAGCTGAGTTGATAAAACTTCACCAAAATAGTAATTATTTTTGAGATGAAACATTTATCTACTTCAAAAATAATACTTGATAATTGATATTTATAGTCTTTTACTCATAATTTACATAAAACTAAAAAGTATTTAGCAATTAAAATTTAAGAAATAAATGGCTAGTTAATTTAAATTTATTAGAATTGAAACTATAGATGAATAGGATATCTGTATAGTATTCTGTATATGTCGTTTATAAATTATGTTTGTCATTGATATTTAGAGAAATTCAATTTTAATTGTATTAACAATTTTATGATTTAAAATTAATAGATAGATTTATTTACTAAATTAAATGTTTTATTTTCTTATTGGTTAATAATTAATCATCCATTTTGGTTATAGCAACCTAATATTGTAATTAATTTCATTTTGAAGTATTATAATGTAACTGTTATTTTAACAAGAAAAATTGTTTCTCATATCAATAATAATTGTCTAGTTCAATTATTGAGTACATGTTATAATGGGATAAATATTACTGAAGTTAGAACTGGTTTTTCGATTGATTATTAATTATAATTTTATTGTATAATTACTGAATAAATAGTTTTTCATGTATATTTATTCCTTTTATTATAAGCTTTTGGTTAACTAATAAATTACCGCAATACGATTTACTATTCTTAATTTTCTGCCAGTCTATTACTCCTTATCTCCTAGATTCATAGTCACTTTTAGTTTGTTTATGTGTAATTGTTAGTTTTTCATCATATGGTGCCATTCAATTTGGTATTTCTGTACATAAAGTACTTTTGTTTGAAATGTAAATATAGTAGGGGCTGGTTGCTACTTCTGAAATCAAAAGTTTAGCATACAGAAGAGCTAGCGAATAGATGATCAATAGTAACTTGGCTGCTAGTTCAAAGTCAATAATGCTGGTTGGGTATGTAATTGACACTAAGCTATAGAATTAATAGTAGACCAAATTACAATTATGATTTCGATTGGTGATAAGATACGTGACGTTGGTCAGCGGCTTCTAGATACAACAGTTCATACTTTTTGGGCTTTTATTTGTTTCACTGAAATTAGTTAAATATTTAATTTTTTTAGTTGATGGTGGTGATGGGCTAATTGAAGAGGAACCCGAGATGCATGTTGAGGAGGTAGTTAAAACACACTGTCATAGCACACTTCGGTAAGTGGCAATTATATAATTTATCTAAAGCCAGTCTCATTATCTGAATTTTTTTGAATTGAATATAAGTAACTTAAAACTTTCCAAGCCTTCTAGTGTATTTTACATCAATTGTTAGTAGTTTAGTTATTTTAATACAATTATATTAGGCTCGACAATGCAACACATTTCACTTGGATGCAATATAGTAATTAACAGATGATCTTAGTAACTTGAGAACATATGTGAATAAAATCTAGATATTAAAAAGTGGTTATTCGTCAAACCTATCAATAAAAAATAATATATCAACTATAGATATATCAAAACAAATAAAACTTGACATTTTACATTTCATTTGAATGATTAGGTCGAATTGCTAGATGGCGTAAACTATTAATTATGAGTAATTTTGGTTATTTTGTTACAATACATTTTAGTAATTCAGAAAACTCTAATCAAAACATACGCGGAGTATTTAATATTCAACTCATCTTTTATTCTATGTATAAATGAACTTATAAAATGTTTTGTTTATCCTACTGCTATTTAATGTGCTTGTCAGATTCGGCATCGTTCGTTGTGACGATCAACAGCTTGACTGGACACTTATTTTGATACAAATCTAGTTTATTTTATTAGTTGCCGATATTTGTATTTATGCACTTTTTTTATCACAAACTGGGAACAATCTGAGAATCAGTGAAAATCGTATAGAGCTGAACAGCTGTTTTGACCTATCTTAGTCTCCACTGAGGTTTTCACTTACCATTACAGTGAACGTTTAACCGGGAACCTTCAGGTTTAGAAGTGATCCTGGTATCTTTAGGTCAGTGAAACAAAACTTCATGATCAACAAATTAGTCATGTATTGCGATGATCACATGCTTTCATCACTTATGGGTATCTTACTCGTGCCAGTGATGAATTATTTTCAGTTACTCCCTTCAGGTTCAGTCACTTATAGGTTTTTCGGCAAGTACGGCTGAAGAGAACCATCCAAGGATGAAAAAAATGTTCTTTTTCATCGCCCCTTATAATTCTTCAGCTCATGCTTGATCGCGGCGAAAACTACCATATAATTCAAGTGTGCTGACTGCAGAATAGTTAAAAAAGGTGCTGGGAACTGCTATAACTAGAAGTCCAGTGAAAACATGGATTCGGAAAGTTTAGTCTTAAATTTCAGCCAAAAATTCCAATGTTTTGATTGAGAACCACATATAACACAATGAAGTTAGTTTGAAAAAGTATTTAGGAGTCATGGGTTATCTCCTGTGTAGTTCATAGTGAAATAACGTATAACATATAATGTCTCTGCTCTTTAATATAACTGGATACATAAATCTACAGTCATGGACAATCACAACATAAATAACACAAAATGACATCAAATTAAACGCTCTGCATAAAGCGAAGTTCTTTATTTCGTATTTAAATTGTATCTTCAGAACAAGCGCAATACACTAAGTATTCATTATTTCCTTCCAAATGAGTCTAAAAATGACTTTTAGACTTTATTAATCGCGTATAAGAACTGAGGTCTTTGTGGGATATTTGAGACGTTTCCAGTGTTGTTGTTCTTTAATAATAAAACTTGACTGCATATATAACAGAAACTAGTTTGAACAAAGACACCTGGAAAATGATATACAAAATAATAACTGTAAAAATTTTGATAATTATTAGCTGAACCAAATCCCTTTTCTGTTGATTTTCACTGGAAAAATTTTAGCCGTTTAAGAAAATTCCGTAAACGAACACGACGAGCTGTGATTGCTTTTATCAACAGCCGCCAATGTTTTGCATTAGTTATTATCTTGGTTTTTCTTAACACAGTAGTCTTAACCACTGAACATCACAATCAACCAGAATGGTTAGACGAATTCCAAGGTTGGTCGACTGATTTTAATTGAAATGTGTTACTGTTATTTTATTTTTGTTTTTATTATTGTTTATGGACATTAAATTAAGTGTTGTATAAAGTGCTCTTGCGGTTACTGTCATACCAGTATAACTTTTTGCATTCATATGTCTTTTCGAAAAAACTTCATATAGCTAGTGTGCTTTGGCAAGTTTATTTTGAGTTAACAAAAATGTAGTTATTTTCTTGTGGAGCATTTTAGTCAGTCGAATGCTGTTGAAGAGCATAATATCCCGTTGTATTTGTCAATTCAATCTTTAGTATTCCTATACTAAGTGACCTGTATACCTCACGAATAAGAACAAATGGATAAACACAGAATACTTTGTTTAACATTTTAACTTAAAAATAGAAGTATAGACAATGTTTAGTGGTTGACTAACCTTGATTCTTGAATATCAAGTTTGATTTTACAATTTTTGGTAAATTAGGCAACTGAATTGGTGAAACTGTGTACATGCATCGATCAAATTAGTTAGGATGTGGATGTTATTGACCATCCACTGCATAACTTGATTTTTGATGTTAACTAGAGAATAAAAGTGTAAAGAGTTTGGAATTAGTTAAAAATAATGTATAATAACTGTTTGTTATGTGACTCAATTTCGTTTCTCGGCGAGACCAGAGTAATGCATTCATTTTCTTATTGTTAGAATTTAATAGTTTAGTAATTGTCGAAAGAAAATAGGAAAGTAAATGCACCATCCAATTAGAAAACGATTTTAATTTTATACTTCATTATCTTAGTGAAATTTTATAAGAGACCTAGAGTTTTACAGTTGAGCAAAGTGTTGTGTTCATTTTTTATTTCAGATTTTGCTAATGTTGTATTTGTGATGCTATTCACAATGGAAATGTTAATTAAAATGGGGGCATCTGGTTTCTCAGATTATATTTCAAAACTGTTCAATCGCTTCGACTTTTTTGTAGTTATATTTTCTATATTGGAATTGATTTTTGTGAAATCTGGTTTACTCAATCCGATGGGTGTTTCTGTGTTACGCTGTGCAAGACTTCTCAGGATATTTAAATTGACTCAGTAAGTGTGCGAAATCGTACTTCAATATCAAAGTGATGAAAATAATATAGGTTGTATTTGCGTAATTGTTTTATTAAAAAGTCTTAAAAATTGTCAAAATAATGACTGCATATTTGATGGTACAATGTTTTGACCTGATGAGTGGCTTCCACTATGAAGTATTTACTCTAGAATGTGCCAGTTTCAGTTATCTTACAGTTCTAATTAGAATGATAGTTCAATTATGTACTGCAAGTCATAAAAAGACTTATTTCAGGATAATGTCTCTTAACAAGGTTTGTAAACTGAGGTTCTTCATGGTGGAAGGTCATTCGGATAATGAGAACCATTTGTTGCTAGATATTCTGTTTCGTTGAGTTGTGTGTACGTCAGTATATCTTATTTCGATCGTTTGGTATTCTTTCCATTTGTTAAACTTCTGTCTTTGATCCCTTATTTTGATAGGTTTTTTCTATTCAATTAATAGGAACTCAGACTTGTCGTTGATTACATCATGATCTCTCGCTTATTCTGTTTTTACATAAAATAAACTTGTTTGTTTGTAAGAAATGACTTTAATTAATTCTCATCAGTAGACTGAATCACTCCGTACATTTTAAGTGAACAATCACTTATGTGAAACATTTTATGTTTTTAAAATTACTGTAAATATGAATGATTTACATAATGCAAAATAGAGTGATTTCCCTTCAGATAATTGTTTAATTGTCTTCCATGTGTTAAACACTCGAGCGTTAATGAAATATCCATGATATTTTCCTGGTCTACAATTCCATCACTATGTATGCTTAACTGCTTCAAACTCTTTTGCTCAGTATTTGACAAAACTGGATAGGTTTTTAAATCAGGATAATGATTTTAATCATATTTGACTTATTAAGCTGGATAGGTTTTTTTTAATCAAACTTCATTGTCTTTCTAGACAACATTATCAGCTGAAGATTCAACAAAAATAACTGGATATTTGACCATTTGAAGTAATCACATAGTTTGTGAGCCAATCTTATTTTTACACAAAAATGATTTGATGATTAGAAATCTCCTGTCTAAATTACTTTAGTAAGTTTTCGAACTTATCCCTGACAACTTCAGATGTATTGTAAAACGTTCTGTTAATTCCTACACTACTTTGTACGAAGAAATAAAAGTGAAAACAGATGGAAATAATCGGTTATTCTGAAATAAAATATTTTTAAAGTCTCAAAGTGTCAAAAATACCCTAATTACAAATTTTCTATCAAGTATTTGGTCTAATGTATGAAAGTAGATGTCTAAATAGAACTTATAACACGAATTAATTTTGTTTTTCAAAACACCAAAACACTAATTTAATGAATAATTAAACAGATTCTTGTGCAAACTATAACTTGTCAAAAAATTATCTTGTTTGATTACCTTGATAGGGTTTATCCTACTAATCAAGCATTTTTTTTCCATTTGGTTTTGAAATTTTAGGTACTGGGAAAGTTTGCGAAGTTTAGTAGGGAAATTATTAAAATCTGTTCGATCAGTTGCTAGTCTACTACTTCTATTATCTATATTCATTCTTATTTGCTCTTTACTTGGTATGCAATTATTCGGTGGTCGATTCAATTTTATAGCACATGAAAAACCTCGTGCTAATTTTGATGGAATTTTGCAAGCTATGCTTACTGTATTTCAGGTTGGTGAAAAGTCACATTTATTGAAACAATTAAACATGGTACCATAAATTTTGTTTACATTAGGATATTCTACAAATCTGATTTTTTTCAATAACATGTAATTGATCTCTGTCACTGAAACCAATACTAAAAGCAAGATTCGAGTAGAAACGAATTATGTATTCTTAATTATGGACATAAAAACAAAACAAGCAATTACGGTGTAACCAGTAGTGTTTAACCATGTCGTTTATGAAGCAGTTATTCACGTCTGATACTAGGAGATTGTTATGCAAATCTCGGTTAGCAGGCTTCCTTGGTTAAAACCCTAGAGTCCCGTACCATTGATGTATGCTGTGCATCCGAAACACGCATAGAGGATCCTAGTGTGCTCATTTACTTGACCTCACCTCGGCGAAACGGAGAGCCGACGAGATACAGGCTCCGTGTATCTGGCGACCTGATGGCTAGTTCTCGTGAATTGGCGTGTACAGGCATAGCACTGAGTACGAGGGCAGAACAAACACTATTATAATGGATCCCTGTTAACAGTCGCACATGTGTTGTTTGACTAAACGGTCCCGTAAGAACTCGGAAGGACAGAAACACACGTCCTTGTCTTTTCGTCATTTCTTCCTACGCTCCCACTGACTGCAGCTCAGATGAAGTGGGAGATGGCTTTTACAGAAAGCTTTCTGAACTTCTTCATTAAGCTAAGCACCCAGACATAGTACTCGTAGCAGGTGACTTTAATGCCTAGTTATGTAGTTTAAACCAAACAGGAAGACATTTAGGCGGGTATTTTAGTATTCCGGCTCAGCGAACAGATAATGGTGACCGTCTGCTGCGACTGTGTTCAGAAAATCATTTATTTTTAGCAAGCAGTAATTTTAAGCATAAGGAGAGACATCGTCTAACATGGTGACCACCTGCACCAAACCAACGATGGACTCAAATAGACCATATTGCCATCAGTCATCGTTTGAGAGGCCCATGCTCTAATACGGGCGTGCATTTGCTCGCGCCTCTCTGGATGCAGAAAAACTACATTAAGAAGACCCATCAGAGTTGAACTCAGTGACGAGGAAGCCAAAAGTAGATTCCAGAAACAACTGGGGTTAAACTTAGTCAGTTTTGAAAACGAGGCTGACCCAGATGTTGCTTGGAAAGGTATACAAGCAGCTGTGGAATCAGAAGTGACATCTGCTAGTGACTTAAACCAAAGGGTAACGAAAAAGCCAGTGGATTTCTGTTAAGTCTTTTGCACTCATTCTATCTTTCTCCGAACATGACAACTAGCGAAAACAAATCAGATCTAGGTTAAGCAAAAGTCTAAGGAACGATCGTGAGCAGTGGTGGGTAACGAAAGCAAAAGAGAAGGAAAAGTCAGCGGCTGTATGTAACATCAGACAGCTTTTCAGACTAATAAAGGAAACTGGAATTAAGAAGTCAAGTGTAAGTGAGACTATCTCGGAAAAAGACGACACTGTTATCTGCTCTCAACCCAGACGTTTAGAACGATGGGCGGAACACTTTATGGAGCAGTTCAGCTGACCTTCAGCTACTCTACAGCTAGTTACCATTCCTAAACAGACTGAATTGGACGTTGAAGTAGGCACACCGACTTTAATTGCAGTTCAAAAGCTATAGCTGATCTGAAATGGGGGAGAGCATCTGGTCCAGATGGATTGGCTCCATAGTTCTCTAAGTATGGTGGTCCGGTTTTGGCGATTGGGTTGACTAACATTTTAGTCACAATCTGGGAACTGGATGTAATCCCATGTGACTGGTTGCAATCACTTATCGTCCCAATATATGAGAGAGGGTTAAAATCATCCTGTGGCAACCATAGAGGGATTAGTTTAACTGATATATCTAATATAGCATCTAAAATACTAGCCTCGATAATTATCGGACGCATAACTAAGACTCGTGAACTGCAAACACGCGAGAATCAAGCTGGCTTCAGACCTGATTGTGGCTGTATCGACCACATATTCACCATTCGTCAGGTTCTAGAACACAGGAACGATTATCGGCGTCCGACAATGATGGTCTTTATTGAATTAAGAGCAGCATTTGACTCTGTCGACCGAGAAGTTCTATGGCAGTGTCTGTCATTGAAAGGCGTATCTCAGAATTACATAGACCTTGTGAAGGCTCTTCACTGGATCACTGCCAGTCGAGTCGGAGCTTATGGTGAACTGTCATATGCTTTTGTGACCTCAAGTGGTGTTCTGGAAAGACTGTCTACTACCTCCATTTCTGTTTAACTTCATGATAGACCTACTGATGGAAACAACGCTCTCGTCTACTAACTTCTCGGGTGTTTATCTCCTTCCAGGAGGTCCACTTATCGACTTAGAATATGCAGATGACATAGTCCTGTTTGGTGAAGACGCTGATAAAATGCAGAGTCTTTTGGTAGCACTAAGCACCAATTCCAGAATGTTTGGAATGCGCTTCTCTCCCTCGAAATGCAAGTTGTTGCTTCAAGACTGGTTTGCGTCAACACCTGAACTAAGGATAGGGAGTGAAGTAGTCGAACGCGTTGACAACTTCACTTATCTTGGAGGTCTGACCAGCCCTAATGGATTGGTGTCTGACGAAATCTCAGCACGGATTCAGAAAGCTGTTTTGGCTTTTGTCAACTTACGTCACCTATGGCGAAGGCGACATATCCGTCTATCAATTAAGGGACGAGTATACTGCGCGGCAGTTCGTTCTGTCCTACTTTACGGCTGCGAAACGTGGTCAATAAGAGTCAACGATACTCGTAAGCTATTAGTATTTGACCACAGATGCCTTAGAAATATTGCTCACATGTGTTGTGATCACCGGGTAAGTAATAGTGAGGTTAGGCGTATGGTATTAGGGGATGATGGTAAATCAGTTGATGAGGTTGTGAATCTTCATCGACTGAGATGATTGGGCCACGTGTTGTGTATGCTTGAACACTGATTACCACGACGCGCAATGCTTACTGGTGTTGGGGGATTTTGGAAGAAAGTTAGGAGTGGCCAAACCAAAACGTGGCATCAGTGCTTGAAGACACTAACTCCTGGTCTGAGCCATGTTAGTAGATGCAGACTACTTGGTTGGGGTCAGCGTGACTATCGTAACCAATGGTTGGAGACACTTGGTGACATGACTCAGAATCGATCACAATGGCGTATGTGTATACACTCTCTGTCTTCTCTTAAACTATGATATTTGAATTATTTCATATCTTTCTTTTTACAAACTAACTTCTTTCCTGTACTATATGCTTATGTGCAATCTTTCTTTTATGTATTACACCATCGAGTTAATTGCTTCTTTGGATTTGATGTTCATTTTTTTGTGCTAATGAGTTGTGGCAACTTGGATCGATGCACATATGTGCCTGGTCCTACGTTGTAACAGAATGACTGACTGACTGACGAGTTGGTTGAAATTAATCACTTACACTTCTGGATATATCCTTAGCGCTCTAAAGGTCATGAAACCTGAAGGTCGTGAACTCTTTCTAGAAGAGTCTTCGATGCACACTGGTAGAGTGTATCGTATTACGATGAAGCGGTTGATTCATACTTACTGGTTTTCAGTGACTGTCTAATTAAGACCAGTCAGTTATCTAAGCCATAAAATTTAATTAAAATCTGACATCAATTATAGATCACCAGAAAAAATACGAAGAATCATTTCAAAATTATTTTAGGTCATATCTTGGCATACGAACTAATGAGTGAAAAGGGAATTAATGTGTGTTGGAAATGGAGTTATGGAAATCACTTATATTATTCAGCATGAAATTGTTTTTTAAAGTAAAGGAATCTAACATACTTTCAATTTAGTATGACGCTGTTCTTAACTGATTAAATGGTTGATTTTGAACTTTATCAGTACTTTATTATTATCTCATTGTTGAAAAGAATTCAACACAGATATATTTTGCATTACATGTTTAGTTATTATGAATGTATTTACCTTACTATAGTGTTAGTTAGGACAGATTCTTTACTAGTCACAAACTGAGTTGAGTTTTAGGCCATATAGACTTCAGCAAACGGCCTATTTTGATTGTAAGATATCTTGTATTTGTAGAGCATTGCAAAAGATAATCAATACTTGAATAGTTCACAATGAATTGTACGCATATAGTGATTTAGCGGCTAATTAAGGCTGGATTAGATGAACTAATTTGTTTAAAATAAATATTTTACATTCTTAAATGTGTAAATTTATTCATTGTCTTCATGTACAAACATGTTTAGTTCCTTGTTTCATTTTATTTTTCTCCTCACAATGAAGATACTTACTGGTGAAGATTGGAATGAAGTTATGTATCATGGAATGAGAGCATATGAAAATAGTCCTTGGTATGGAGTTGTAGTTATCTACTTCATATTTCTTTTCATATGTGGCAATTGTATCCTTTGAAAATCGTTTCGTTCTTTTTTGGTAGTAAAATGACATTGTATGATTGTAATTTTTGGATGTTTTTAGAAAAAGGTTGTATATTACCAAGAGAATTTGTTAAAATAGATATTATGTACGTCTGACACAATAACGAATGCCAAGTTCATAGTATATGTGGAAATTTATTGTGAGTGTTCATTCTTATGATGGATGAAACTATTAGTATCCCAATATATATGTAAATTATGTCATTGGGAAAAAAAGTCGAAATTAAAATAAAAGCACTTTTGACTGTTTCAAATTATATAAAAATTGATAATTCGTATGAATACTATGATACCCTTATAAAATGTCTATAAAGTCATCCATTCATTCAAATTAATTCAGAAATACTCGATATTTCTTTATGTTCATCAAATGTATACGTTTCTTCTTTTATTTATTTCGATAACGCTTTCTATTTAAGACTGGATCACAAAGGTCATACCTAAAGTAATATTAATGTACTTGTATAATTCTTAATGGAATCATTTTAATACTTTGATTATAATTTAATAAAGATGTTCAGAATTACAATTTGGATAATTTTTCGATACTAGGAAAAGGTATTATTTTGATGAGCCCTCATAAACTCAGTTTTATTTTAATTATTTTGATTTGTCAAAATATTAAAAAACAACACACTACTTTAGTGTAAGTCAGCATATATATTCAACACCAGTTGGTTGGAGGTCTATTATTTGTAACATGAATAAAGCTAATATTTTCTTATGCGGTATATTATCAGATATTTTATTGAACGTGTTCTTGGCTATTGCTGTCGATAATTTAAACGAAGATGAAGATGAAGAGGAAGAAGGAAATGGTGATGCACTAAAAAAACAAAATGACACACCAGAACTTACAGAGACTGTTGAACAAACTGCACCACCTCCAGAACAGCGAGAAAATGAATTAAATTCAGTGTATGTTTTGTTTAATTTTTTTTCAAGGAACGTTATTCAATAAATATTCACCTGACGATTCTAGCCATCTGTAGGTGAAAAATGATATATATCAATCTATCTTCATTAAGCAATCATATCTTTTACTGTCTTGGATTATGTATTTATTCGATCCGTTCTATCGAGAATTCAAATAATCAATAGTTTTAACAGGAACAGTAGAATGGAATTTAAAGTCTTCAGTTAGAACGTACACAATAGTTGGGATTTATGTGTGAAGATATTAGATGACTTTGCTGGAAAACGCTCACAGTGCAGCATGTGCTTATATTCCATATTTCCCATCACATTTTGAGTTTGATGACATTTCATCATCTAGATCTCATCTTATTTACTCTTGTAGTACTATGTTAATTTCGTCTGATTTTCTATCATATCTAACTCTGTGATTACCTTTAGGACAATTTTTGTCGTGTTTGTTATAGTTCTTACTGTTAGGATGTGAGATAAGGTTGCTTTGAAGTTTACTCATTACTTCTAAGCCCCATGTTCTTGACGATTAACTAATCAAGCAATGTTTCCCTTGCTAAAATACCATTACAAGATATCACTAGGAGTAAATTTTATTACTAATGGGATATTTAAAAGAAATACATGTTGGTCTTGGAGCTGTAGAACATATAACTGCTACTAGTATTGACATCGCTTTGTTTGGCGGAAATGAGGATTAAGTAACGGTTATGTTAGGCTTAAATTAATAGTTAAAATTTATAGACTTTCACCAAGTCATCTAGTCTAACCACACATTAAGCTTGCTTAGTAAACGACTTCCTAGTTCTGTTATAATTATTAACATGTTAAGAGGTTTAAACATGGCTAGCGTTGGTCAGACTAATACATTTTATCGTTCTGTACTATTGTTTATCAATATTCTGAGCCGTGTTGACGGAATTAGGGCTTCTAGTTACTTGTTCATAATCTGTTGATGAAAATTCATGCCAATTCCCTCGGAAATAATTTTTAATCTTGAACATAGTTTTATTCAACACTGTTTACTCTAAACTTTTATTTGCTCTATTGTTCTCTATCCATATCCTTAGTTTTTCAGTGGTCTATTTGTACTCCTATCTTTGTATTATCGTTATGTTTGCTAATCCCATGTTGACATGCTGATGCAAAGTTGAATATTTCGACTGAAACACATTTCCACGTGATAGTAAATCTTTGTTACGTTGAAGTTCCTCATCAACATAAATTTCATAGATATTTATTATCTTTCAACCAAGTAGTATGTATCTAACTACAAATGTCCCCACTGGAAATAAAATACTTTTATCATACTCTTTTACTTATAGAATGAAAATTAAACAATATGAAAGAACAGGTAAGTTATAAACTGTATTCACATTCTATAATAATTGAAAATTATTTCTCACAGATTTAGGTGCAAATGATATCGTGAATGGTCTGATATATATATATATATATATATATATATATATATATATATATATATATATATACAGTAATGATATAATGATTCATTGAAATTCACAACTCAGTACCATGATAATTTACTCTTTTTATTCTTATCGGTATTTATTAGCTGCATGAATCATTTCTCATTTTAGATAATGAAGATCAAACATATGAAGAAATGTTTGCTGAAGATGAAGATGTTGAGGAAGAAGGAGATTTAAATGGTAAAGATGGAGACGATCAGAAAGACATGTCACCACAAGATAGTCGAACAATGCCACCTCATTCAGCATTTTTTATATTTGCTGATACGAACAAGTAAATGTTCGAATTATTCTTTGTTTCCTATGTTGTCAGTGATTTCTAAAACAATTAATTTACAATCAAGTTCTAAATAAGGTTAACCTTTCATTGTGCTAGCATGATTGGATACGTTTCTCAAGAATTGTTAATTAATAGACTTCTTGAAGCGTATTCTGTATATAATTCTAACTTCATTAGGTCATTATCCTCCAAAAACTTTGAAGACAGTGTAAATTGAAAATATTTCCATAAAATCGTGCGAACTTATTGGCTGTGAAAGTTTATTTAATGGAAATCAATAATAAATACACTGTTCTTGAAAATAATAACATTAGCCATAACATTCTGTTGAATCATTTGTTGGATATATAAAAAATATTTTTGTTAAAAATTCTCATCTAGGCATTCTATCAAGTAACAGACACTAAAGGAAAAAATTTTTTATAACTACCTAATTTATCAATATAACTTCATATGAATTATCAGTATGGGGGTTGTGGAGATTGTTAAGTTTTTGGTTGAGATCATGAATTAATTGACGTTAGACCACCGTTGGAAACCTGGAAGCACTGGACGGCCGTTTCGTCCTAGTGTGGGACTCCTCAGCAGTGCGCATCCACGATCCCGCACCCCGCGGGATTCGAACCCAGGACCTACTGGCTTCGCGCCTGAGCACTTAACCATTAGACCACTGAGCCGGCATCCAATGGTGTTAGTGTCTAACATCAACCAATCCACGAAATTGCGCGACCTTCTTCCATTGTACTGAGGTAGATACCTGTCTCTACCCGACACGGATTAGCTCCACTGGTCACGACTTCTCACTAGAACTCCGAGAATTCCCTCACGAAGCTAGTCACTAGTGAGCACATGTAATTATCAGTATGGGGGTTGTGGAGATTGTTAAGTTTTTGGTTGAGATCATGGATTTGTAGCCTGTTGTTGAATTAATATTGCGGTGGATTAATTGAAAACGACAAAGGATCTCAAGATTTTATAATATAAAGAATTTGGGAAATAATTATGAAAATACAGTTAAGTATGGTTTCCATGTAAAATTCAATGATTTTGTACGAAGATATTAAAATACACAATTAATATGACTTACTAGTTGACAATTTAATGAATCTTCATTTCACGTTCATTAACCAAGGATACTTTTCCACTTTCGTTAGGAAACCGTCTGCTTATAAAAAAAACTTCATAATAAACAATACTGAGTAAATAAATATAACATTTTTGCACAAACTGATTAATAACTTGTTGAAATATTTGCCTTTAAAGTTTGTTTTCTGTACACCATACTTTTGTAAAAATGATACCTTCCCGACTGTTCATAAATTACTTAAAAAGAGTAAGTTATCTATCAATATCAAAATATCTCTCATTGGAAATTGGAAATTTTTATTTTATTATATATAAACATTTGTAAGACTGGTAAAAACATCTTTTGTTGTGAATCTGTCCAAATTTTGTCCAACATAAAGTTTCTAAACGTTTTAGAGTAAACAGAATAATCATTTTAAATAAATATCAGCATAGTTAACTGGTCAAAAGATAGAATATTTTGACACGGTAAATAATAATAACGTTATCATTCGTCTTTATTTTGTATAAATGTATAAAAGGCGGAAGCGTCTAGAAAAAGATTATAAATGACCAATAAAGTTCAATTTAATGATTGAATCAAAAACAGGAAAATTTGTAGATTTGTAAGAACGATCACTATGCAATTTGTTTATTTTGTTGTACAAATTTAACTTACATCTTATACTGAATAAAATGATATTCTAGTAAAAACCTGTAATGTATGAATATTTCTTAAAGAAATTTTCGACATATTCAAAGATTTGCATTTACCGTTGAAATTTATCTTAATCATGTCTCTTTTTTACGATTTAGATTTCGTATATTTTGTCATAATGTGGTCTGTTTCTCCCATTTTGGAAATATTGTATTGGTTTGTATTTTGGTAAGCAGTATTTTACTTGCTGCTGAAGATCCATTACATGCAAACTCTCCAAGAAATCGAGTACGGATTATTTCCATTATTATTTTTTATAATAAAATTGAAATATTTTAACCAAATTAATGATAATTATTATTTAGAGTAAATAAATACACTATATTTCTTATTTTTCTGATCTCTGTTTACATCATGTTAGTTCTTAGTGCATAACATGAAGATACATAACGATTTGAAATAATTCCATTCATTCAAGTTAGTTATAACGTTCTGGTTACCGGTTAGTTTATAAAATCAAACAGTTAAGAAGCTTAAGCCAATACTTTGATTTGCTTTTATTGAAGATATTTTTGAATGTATATATATATATATATATATATATATATATATATAACTACTTACTTGGCAATCTGTGTGCATATATTTATTCACATCCTTAGAGTTTTTCACTCAACACTAATTCAAATGACTTTATTATCCCTTTTGTTCTGTTTCATTTATTTGCAATTTTACTAAAGATGATGCCTCATTGTTAACAGTAGCATATTTCTTTAGGTTTACACTTCTTTAGGTAGTATTATCTCTTACATATATTCATGATATATAGGTGAACACATGAATTTTCCCTGACTAATAAATATTTACTTTTCTTTCATAAAATATATTACTCGGACGATAATTTGTCATGGATTAGTTTTTTTTCAAATGATTTATTTGAATCAAACGGTGACTTAGTAGTTGCATCTCTTAGCGTTTAAAATGACACGTACAATGGTGTCCATTACGTACCTTTTGATTATATATTTACCATATAAGGTAAGATATTAGGCGTTTGAAAGTGAATACAGTTCCTCAAATGAAGTTGATTTGGATAAACTTTAAGTAAATCATTCTTATATTAACCACTATTAGTTCGCCTCTGTTCTAAACTATAATTTTGTTATTATATAGGCGAATAACGACGTTTTGAAATATGTATGAGAATACATTTTGTTGAATGAATTGATAATTATCCGTTTTATTTGTTCGTTGATAGCATTGACAAATATGATATACTCGATATTGATAAGAACTACGTTGAATTACATTGGTGGCTATGTTATTTTATAAATAAATATCTTCAAGTATGCACAAAACAGCTAGTAACTATTCATAGATTACATATACAACGAATTTCTTTATTCTCTCTCTTTCCAAACTATAATTGTTTTCAGATTCTGAACATGTTTGATTACTTTTTCACTAGTGTTTTCACTGTGGAAATCACTTTGAAAGTAAGTTGTTGATGAAATACTAAAATTTCAGCATATATTGTGATTAATGTCACTAACATGACAAACTGTGTTTATCTAAATCAGTTTGAGACTAATATGCAACTTTAGTTTAATAAAGTCACATAAATTATAAAATTTACACTTAAAATGATGTTCCCACTTAAATGATTCTCATCACTCTATGTCACTGTTTATGCACATGAACATGTACATCTCTGAATATTATTGAGTTCTCTGAACTAAGTGAACTAGGTCAGTTCCGACGACTTCTACGTGAAGCAAGCGCTGATGATTTTGTCCAGTACGACTAAAAAAATTTTACATTAAAATTTCTAGATCGGAGACGTTGATAACACCAAAATCATACACATGATTTTCAAGTCTTCTCCATTATATATAAATATACATGTATATATTCCAGTTCTAAAAAATAACATGGAACCTATCTACTGATCACGTTTTAATTAGTACTATTAATCACTTGGAATTGAGATTTTCTGATTAATTGTGGAAAGTATAAAATTGTAAAACTATTCAACAAAATCTAGTTGCAATAATTTGTCGGTAATAATTTTCATTCTGAATTACAGTAAACTAAATCTGGAATAATGTCATATAATCATTAACTAGTAGCAAATACATACATATTAGAATAAATGATAAAATATGTCGTTACATCAGGTAACGGATTTTAATCTACCAAAATAGTGCTGAAAATCTACACGTATTTCATAATGATATCATTTATTTTTTACTAAATTGTGCAAAAGATGAATGACTGTCATCTTATTCTCCATAAAAGGTCATCTCGTGATTTTGCGAAGAATAAGTTGCATTTGATTAAAGTTATATAAATATCTTAGAACTCCAATATATTTTTATCCTTCAAGATTAATCCACATTGGTAAGCTGCATTTATGACAGATTTATTCCAGTTAGGGTATCATGAGGCAAAGAATAACTGGTTGACTCGTTAGCGATATACTTCAAGAAGTTTAGCAAAGAGTATTTGTTGATAATGTTCAGAATGCTGAAAGTCTCATTATTTCTATTTTTATAAATGGATATTTTCCCTAATATTTGTATATATATATATATATATATATATATATTCTTTTATCGCACTTTAGATGATTTCTTATGGATTTGTACTTCATGAAGGAGCATTTTGTCGAAGTGTATTCAATTTACTTGATCTTATTGTCGTCTGCGTAGCATTAGTTTCATTCGTGTTACAGTAAGTTATTTATGCTAGGCATATAATTCATTACTTTATTCTTGTTTGTAAAACTACACGGTTTGAGGTAATTAAGATGGTTTTTTTATACATATTAGCATAAAAAATAATTAGATTCACACTGCAACAGCAGTATGAACATAAAACATAAAACAACCCTTTATTTTTAGGATTAGCTTGAAATAACTGATAGGTGAAGAAGTTATTAAGAATGCTACAGAGATGATATGATAATGTTATTAGTAAATTAGCATGACATAACTGATGATTGTAAAAAATACACATTGATGCGCGCTAGTAAATAATTGGTTGCGTTGTCAATCTAGATTTTTATCACAATCTTTCTGTACAATATCTTGATTCATCTGATTACACGGCGTATTTTCTTTGTTTGTAGGAATCAAACAATTTCCGCAGTAAAAATCTTAAGAGTTCTTCGGGTGCTTCGACCTTTAAGAGCTATTAATCGAGCCAAAGGGTTAAAAGTAAGCATTATACATATTTTTCACTTACATGTAGTATGTTGAAAAATAAATACTGAGATTTTGTTAAGTAGTGATGTTTGTGTTATCATCTAATATTATTTTCTGTTTATCGAATGACAATATACACACGAATTGCTACTTTCTCATACATTTGTCATGAAAGATAATAAACATTATGACAACCGTTAAGAAATAAGGCATCATCTCATATATATTTAGGTTGTTTATTCTGCACATAGAAAGTCCATTTGTTTTCACTATTTTATAGGAATGTTATTTTGATTTTTTTAAAAATCTCTTGTACGTTTTGTATGTAATAACTCAATCATTCAACAAAACATGAATGAATCTCAAACAATATAATCTGTTTGAACGGTTTCAGCTTTAAATTTTATTAAATAACAAATTTTTGTTTGATTTTTCTTAATTTATAATCTATAGCACGTTGTCCAGTGTATGATTATTGCCATTAAAAGTATTGGTAACATTGTACTCGTCACATTCTTATTAGAATTCATGTTCGCAGTTATTGGTGTACAGTTATTCAAGGGTAAATTTTACTCATGTACAGATATATCAAAACATGTTGAAGAAGATTGCAAGTAAGTTAGTTTTGATGATTAAAATCATAGTGATTCGCTTGGTTTTCAAACAAATGATTTAATCAAAAGTTACTGAAACTATGGTAATATTATATAACCATTGATAATGGTCAATAAGACCACTTTAAACAGAATAGATTACTGTCGTAATAGAATGTTTCAGTTTATAATGTAAGTTTCTTTCTGACTCCTATATCATAGAACCAGATAATTGATAGCCGACTACTTAACTGTCAGTTTATAAAAAAATTGATAGAAAAAGTGCCATGTCACATTAAATCAAGAAAACATTTGTGTATATAATTACTATTAAGTTATTGAACACAGTGATCATCATACATAATTGTAAGACTTCTACTTCAGAAAACTTTTTGAAGACCTGAAGACGATATTTAAAAATACTGAGCAACGTCACATTGTTTGAAATGAGTTTGTTTATTTTCATTCCATTTCGAAGTCGATAAGGTCTCTAAATATCACAGATCAGGACCGTTTAGTAGACCATATTCATTATATGTAGAAATGTTTTGATAGATTTACTTGTAAACATAGAAATTCATTGTACATTTTATTATTTGAATGCTTTTTAGAGGTCAATTTATTGAATATAAAGATATGAGTTTAGACGATCCTATTCTTAGTGAAAGAGAATGGAAAAATGCTGATTTCAATTTTGATAATGTTCCAAATGCTTTATTAACTCTATTTGCTGTTTCTACTTTTGAAGGTTGGCCAAGGTAAGTGTAGACTGTCTCAACAATTCCTTATAAATAATATTATTTTCAAACGTTATTATGATAACAACAATTATTTACATCACATTTATAAAACAAAACAAGTAGTTTTTATAGTAGACGAATAGTTATTCTGCTTTTTTATTTATTGTGCAATTTAAAGTGATATTTATACATATATACTCACACAATTGTTTTGGGGTTACCCGATGGAAGGTTTAGCCAGGTTGAGAGAAAAATGAATTTGTTTATTATGCGCCTTTTGCTTGACGATGATTGCTTTCTTTAGAATATTAAATAAAATTTTATGTCAATCGCGTTTCCATTTCTGTTAAGGTAGTGTAATGCTCTTTAAAAGATGACAAGGAAATCTAAACGTTGAAAAAGCAACCTCACATCTTTTTATAACTCACTTTTTGAGTGAATGTTATTTGTCTGGGTACTGAGAAAGCATAATTCAAAAATAAAAGAATCACGAAAACTGTATATGTATGTTGAGATAGTCCTTATCACTAACTTTCTTTACCTAATAAATCACTGAAAACTGGTGGGGGGAGGCACTTGACAGTTTTTGTTGTAGGTTGAAGCTCATTGGCGGTTTGTACACTCTATCACAACAAATTTGGTACACAGAATCTTCGGTTGTGGAGAGGTAACGTTAACTCTAAACCATCAAGACGAGATTTAGTGGTCTGTATTTCCCATTTGATTGTAACGACCATCTAGTGTTGTCGGCTTTATATGTCTAACTTTCAATGTATTTCTGTTAGTGTCAAATGGGAACTACCGAAATTTGTGTATACCAAGTATCATATGTTAGTTAACATTTATTATTATATTTATTTATAAGTGTTATTAAATGAAAAGAATATTTTTCCTGTTAAACAAACACCTTATCTATTCATGATATAGTTTTATTTCCATTGGAAAGTTAGCTTAGCATACTATCCGGGTAAAATGGTTTCAAAAATAGTTTCCTAATAAACTTATTCTCAGTTATTAAAAATTGAAACATTTATATTTATAGAATTTTTAATGGGACTTATACAATTAAGTAATATCATGTCAATCTTTTACCTTGACCACTCATTGGGTGTTTACGTTTTGTATTCAGTTTATTATACCGATCTATTGATTCGAACGCAGAAGATCATGGACCAATAACAAATTATAGACCAATAGTCGCATTTTTCTACATTACATTTATTATTCTCATTCCATTCTTCATGATTAATATATTCGTTGGTTTCGTTATTGTGACATTTCAAAAAGAGGGTGAAGCAGAATATAAAAATTGTGAATTAAATAAAAATCAAGTAAGGAATTTTTTTCTCTTAGTATGGTGAATTATTTTGAGTGAAAAGTACTGAATAACTAACCGAATGCTGTTTGGTGGTTGGCGACAAATGGTCGAAAGGCCTGTCTGACTTATTTTTTGTGTTAGTTTTCAGTCGGCAAGACGCTATATCTGCGATCTTGGAAGACTTTGATGCCTACTATAGGATTTATACTCATCACACCTGCTGTCTCATTCCTCGATGTTGGCGATAAGTTATTTGCTATGAAATTAACTTTTTTTGTGCTGAGAAGCTTAAATTGCTTTTGAGTTTCATCGATACAATTAGATCAGCATTAAGTACTGGACAATATGACGTTGGTTCTTACCAAGTGTGGTACGCCAGAAATTTATATGGCAGTAAGCAAGATGATGAACGTGGAAGATATTACGTTGTCTTGATCAGATAAGTTAAATGAAAACTTGAGTGATTTCCAAAACTCAGTAGTAAACTTCGGGTACCTTATGATAAAACATTGGTTCGAAATTAAAAAAGAATAAATCCTAATTTTCAATTTATAATTTAGACAAAATAACTGGTATCAGTTTTGTTGAATAAAGTTTTACTTTCATAATTTTATGGTGTAGGCTACAAAAGAATCTTGAATGATTTTTATAATTTCAAAATCAGTATAATAACAGGTGACTGATAAAAATTGGTGTATTGTTTCATAAGTGGAACTCGTAAACCGTTATCTTCTAAATTCATTAAATTATAAACCACTAGATGGAACAACCATCAGGTCTGATGGATATTATCTGCATAGCATAACTTCTAAATTAACTAATTAGGTGGCATATTTAAATAAGAGACACCGAATGTAACTGAAATGCAAAAACTTAGTATTCTGAGATTAATCAGCTTTTACCAAAGTGAATAAAGTATTATTTAATTAAGCGTTTTGTGGACGGAAATATACTAAATCATTAAACTTAGTTTAGACATTCGTCAACAAACATTGTTGCTATTCGTATCTCATTTCATTATATTATCCCTTAATTTTATCAATTTCAACAATGTGTTTTATGTAAATGTTCTTTTTACTGTTGTTTTTTTAATCTTTAGCGTAAATGTATAGAATATGCCTTGAAAGCTAGACCACGTCGACGTTACATTCCTAAAGGGCATTTACAGTTTAAGATTTGGTCTGTAGTTGTATCAAAAAGGTTTGAAATATTAATCTTCATATTCATATTTATAAACACTGTGGCACTGATGTTGAAAGTAAGCAAATAATTTTATAATTTTATAATTTATATTGTCTTATCATATTATAATTTATTTACTCGAATGCTACCCGACCTAATATATATTGGTCGATGAATATTTAAAGATATGTCTACCAAATGATCATTGAAAAATGAGTTACTCTAAGAACATGCGTCATTTTATTTCGTAAGTGTTATGGGTATTTTTACCAACTATGAATCCATCGAGAAGTTAACTGATCGTTACTGTGTTTTATTTGTAATCATTTAGCATCGGAAATTTATTAATCCTTACAATTAACTTGGTTTTATGGCTTGCAAAACTCTATGATTCTTACATTTTTTTCCCGAATATCCGGTACAGTAAAATTTTGATTAGTTATATCTGATACATAAACGACATTTTAATACATACATCTGTGTCTTATTAAAATCGATATTGAAATTTTATATTAACAAAATTATTGTAAAAGTTAATGCATACATAGTCGAGCTATTCGGTTATACACTTGATGTAATTTGAAAATCTCTTATTATTGTTCACTAATCTTATTTGAATAGGGAATACTTTGATATTAGAGATTTTATCTTATGAATGATTCCAAATAGCTTTACATTTGTATAGTAATTGTATAATGATACTTTCAATAAGGTTATAGTCGATAAATATACCTAATCTTTTAAACGTGAGATTTTCCTAGCATAACTTTTTTCTCAGTTTGAGAACAAATGAAAATAGTAAAAAATGTTCGAAAAGCTATATGATTTTACTTTGGGATATGTACAAACTTATGAACACGTACTACTGATGAGTCTCAATTTTGTGAAATATATCTATATAAGATTTTCTAATGTTTAATGATTTTCAAACTGATATCAAATTATAATGTAGTGTATATTTTTAAATCTCTATAATAAAAACCACTTGAGAAAATTTTTAAGTTTATTTGTCATTTGTTTCTTTTGTTTCATCTTCATAGTATGATAAACAAGGTAAACTTGAAGCAAGAATATTAGATTCATTCAATTATTTTTTTACTGCTGTATTTACAGTAGAATTTATACTTCGTTTATCAGCATTCAGTTTTCGGGTGAGTTTTGTATTTTATTATGTATCTATTTCTAAGAACAAGTGGATTTTCATTTTAATCCATTTCGAATTTTTTTTCAAAAATGATTAATAGTTCATAATCTTGTACTTTATAAATTGACAAGTGTTTATTAAACTTTTTTTATAAGATGATAATGACCTAAATATGATTCAGTAACTGAAAGACTGTGTTCAGTGTTGTCATTACTTACTGTTGATACTCTTCGTTTAAAAACATAATTAAAATGATCATGTCACTTTTATATTTAAATGGTATTTTGGAATTTTCGTAAGTTCCGAAAATTATGGTAATTATCGAAACGTCAGCTGATGGGAAATATTAAATCATAGGATATCAATGATACTTCTCCAGTGACATTTCCAAAAGTAATTACCAATATTTATTCTTCTGTACGATATTTTTACCAGCCTAACTCTAAGTTTAGTATTTATTTCAATATCCTGATAAAAAGCCAGCTAAAATAATAAGGACACACTGCATCGAGAATTGGAAGCAGACATGAAAAGGATGAATGGCAACTGTAAAGAACTGAAAAGGATTGTCCAGGACAGAGTTGGATGGAGAATACTGGTTGGCAGTCTATGCTCCTCCACGAGAGGTCACGAGCATAAATGAATAAAATTACTGGCTCAATAAATTTGTTTTACGATCATCGTTGCCAATTGGCTAAAGCTGTAAACACAGGTTGCCGACTAACTGACATACAACAGCGCACTTAGTCTGCAATCATGACGTATGTGTAAATATACTGTGGTTCTTATTGTAGGAGAAACATGTAGTTACTCATGGATTTGAGATAGTAATAACAGTAACAGACTATGTAATGGAATTTTCGTGAAATAAAATTTCCTATTTTTATTTCATTTTTTGCGGGGTTAATTACTTCTACTTATTGATGGTTTCCTTTTGTTTTTTTCCTCTTAAAAATTTGCTAGCATTATTTTAGTGATATTTGGAATGTGATCGATTTTGTCTTGGTCCTTGGTAGTTATATAGATATCATCGTGACACAGGTAAAACAATATTTATATGAACTGCTTTTTACCAACTGACATTTCTTATAATATAAACATATTTTCCATATTTGACTGTACAACATAAATCTGTAAGTAATTTAATGTTAATTTGGAAAGATAATATTTAGTTTCATTATCGGCAAGTATTATTTTCTGATTACTCTTGTCTTTAGTTTCTGATGGTATTCATATAGATGATTTCATTGATAATGTATCAAACCATTAATTGATAGAATCCTAAAAAATTAAAACTGCACAACAGATTTAAAATACTATCCACTGTTAAATGTTTACACGTCTCATATTTAAAGACAGGATGAAACAGCCATCAATAATATACAGTTGTAAACTTTACACATCACTTTTTCGTAACAACTTGTATAGTTTATAATAGTTTGTATTAGGTAACATAGAGTCGATTTGCTAGTTATTATGGATTCAAACAGGGTTTTAATACTGTTTTGATAAAGTGATATTATTCATCTTTCATATTCTGTTCACAAATTCTTGTTTGATTCATCAACAGGAAACTTTGTTCTTAGAAGTAGATCATGAATAGTAGTCCGTTATATTGTTTAAAAGAATAAATGAATGAGGAATTTCTATACATATTTCATTTAAACTAAGGTTATCATTACCTCATTTATCTATTAGTTTACATAAATATTCCTGTCATGATAGAAAAATTAGGAAAAAGCTGAAATTGTCGACTATTATTGATGTAATAAAAAATGTATTTAACGTGTTTCAAATTATGACTATTTGGCTATTTATTGTTCACAGTCAATCACGAGGCACAAACAGATCTTAATTTTCCCATATATATGTTCTGCTATAGTTCTGCTGCATACTGATATCCTAGAGTGTCTGCAATTTTATTAGTCATCATCAGAATCGTTAATTATTGTACAATAAATTCTAGAATCTGGATGGTTTCTATTAAGACTATTAGTTGATACTCACTCACCATAATTCCAACTAAAATATTTTATGTGCAAAAAAGAACACTTTGTGTTTAGTTTACTGACTAATTTCTTTTTAAATCTTGTCTTATCTTCATTTTTTAATTTTTTTAGTCTGATATAAGTCAGGTCAAATTCAGTGTAAATTTTTTCCGTCTATTTCGTGTTATGAGATTGATTAAATTGTTAAGCAAAGAAGAATCTATACGTCAATTATTGTGGACATTTATCAAATCTATACAAGTAATTTTGTAACTCTTCCTAGAGTATATTCATTATTGGTTTGCTTTAATAATTTAAATCATGAGATAATACTATTAATAATTTACAGTAACATGATTTCAACAAGATTTTATGTTTGTATGGGTGAGCAAACATAAATTGTGGGATTGGTTACATGAAAAATACATATTTTATTCTAGTCTTTATTGTGTATTCATCGTTGAATAATCTGTTGGAATATTCAGTTCAACTAATTTACAAACTTGGTGAAATTTAATTTATACAATTTTGTTTTGTTTATGTATAAGATTACTTTTCAAATTTCTTTGAATAAATGATCTTCATCAATCATGTTAAAAATTATAGGAAACTTTACGCTTGGTAGCTCATTATTTGATAGAAATAAACCTACAGCAATGTCTTAGAAAAACTACATATTTCATTGATGTCTTAAAAGCGTCTAGAATTTTTGTTGTTGTTGATGTACTCTTTGTATCAATTTATCTTCTAAATTGCCAATTGTTTGACAAAATTGTTTACATTAAAATACCATGAATATTTTAATAGACTTAAAAATTGATCGGAAAACTAAAGAATGAATAAGACACATTAAATATAAGTTAATGTCATAAAATTGAAAGCGTATTATGTTCCTTCACCAGTAAAAGAATTTCTATACACTGTATAGTCTGTGATAATAACAACCCACATTCCATTTCGTCAATGCATTAATATATGTTAGTTTGATTGAAGGCTGTTTTTATTAGATTTAAAACGCTTTCTTTAAAAAAAATGTACATATTCTATTTTGATTCAGTAAAATTGGCATAAAATGAGAATTAGAAGTTCTTCACTGATTGATCACTGAATAGTAACCACTATCGTGTTCTATTTGTCTTCAGTTTTAATTGAATTATGTCAATCAAGCTAAAATATGATCACTTGTTGAAATCAGGGTCACCTAATGAGACAGGACTACCGAGCTATTCGAGTTCTGTAGGACAGTGATATTGATACTAATTGAATACTGATTAGAAACCAAAAATTATTTTTGCCTTGTACTTAATGTTGATTGAACTCGATGAACTAAATTATTAATTCTTTGTTTCTTATTGACACTGTATTTTGAATAAAACGTGAAAATTCAGAACAAACACTATTATAGTAAAAATTATAGGCCACATTTTATTTTTGTTTTCATATTGAGCTAAGTAGATGTGTAATTCATGATTGCTAAACATTGTGATAACCAATGCTATAAACTAGGATTTGACGAATAAATGAGTTTTGAAGCGCTAAAGTTGTTGAATAAAATGGGTATTTATATGCGATGTGCTCTGATACAATGTGAAGAAGTGATGGCTGCATACAAGACCGGATTATTGACTAAGGCCTTCGAACGTTCTGGTATTAAAGAGGTCACTAGCCCGAGTATCGGGTTTTTTATCTAATAAGATAATGTTCTTTTATGTTAAATATTTTCACGTAAGTAAATATGACTAGATGTCATAAATAATGAGTTAGTTTTGTAGTCACTTATTTTTTCACTAAACAAAGAAGAGATAGTTAGACTTAATTGTTGTTCATCATAATAAGTGATTAGTTATAGTATGTAACAGTATGAAAAACAAGTTTCTATAAGTTTTAATTGTCACCCATCTAATTATAAAAATAATTACTTCATTCACTAATATATATTTCTAGTATAACGTGGAGTTCTCAGCCTAAAATATTTAAACAAGCTTTTTCATTTATATCTCAGTAATAAACATATATACATTAGAGGAAAAAAGTGGATTAATCAGGTGGTTTGTATTTGACAGAAAAACACTAGAGAGTTGCTTGCACTGAATGAAATGTCTATTTAAAACCATACTTACAATAACATAAATACAATGACCACGCATAGCTACTAATAGCTTGAAAAAATATCAAGATATAGGACAAGATAATAGGTAATGAACGAAGGTTTGCAAATTTCTAAAGTAAATATCTGTATTGCTAAGAACAACATTAAGAAAACATGGTAAGACCGAACGAGATCAGAAGAAAAACTCAAACAGAGACACATTAAATGTGACAGGAATTTAAAAATCATATAATTTTTTCTAGGAGTCTATGTTACTTCCATCTTCGAGTAAAGCTCATACTTCGGCACTTAAAAACATTAAGTGTAAGATCATTTTATTATGGATCGTTGTTCAATGTACTTTAATAACTAATTCATTTCATCACAAACAGAAGAAGAAACTAGAATAAATACAGTAAGGTCTTCTGTCCTATAACTCATGAATGTCAGACATAGTCAATAGGCATCATGTGGACACCGATCAGTTAATCTCCATCTCCACAAATGACTCGTACTCAATAGTATTTTTTTCTGCATATATACTGAAATATTTGCTAATGAATGCATTTAATAGATTTTGATCAAATTAATTTGAATTCCTCAAATTGTATAAGGACGTTATTGTAATACGCATTCTCATTTCTCTTTATTTTGTGTGAAATTTAGGCATTACCATATGTTGCATTATTAATTGCAATGATATTTTTTATTTATGCCGTAATTGGTATGCAACTATTTGGACAAATTTCCATTGAAGAAAACCCATTAGAAGAAGAGGAATGGCCTACTTTACACAGAAATAATAATTTTCAAAATTTTTTCTATGCTCTTTTAGTATTATTTCGGTTAGTGAAAAAACTTTTAATTCTGTGTAAGAAAGATTTAAGGATTTATTAGTTTTAATTTTCGCCTAAAAGTGAGGTAATTGACTTAGCTTACCTGGTGAAAAATTTATGTAGATTTCTGGTCAGGAGAACTCATATCTATTTTCATTTCGTACAAGTTAGCACTTGTCGACTGAGTGTATTTATAATCTTAGGCAGTATTCCAATTGGGATTTCAACTTGTGTAGCACAGTGTCATAGCTAGAAATGTTACTATTCAACGTTTCGGGGTGCGACTGACCTCTTCTCGGAGTTGGATATTTAGAAATCGATCTTGCGCTTAATTCATGATTGTTATTAATTGTTTGATTTAAATGTTCATTGTCGTATCAACTCTTATCAATGTGGATAATTGAATTTGATCAGCCTTATAGTTTGGACAACATAATGTTTTGTTTCTATCAATGGTTAACTAATATAATGAGATGGCGCTATAAAGTGACATTTCATCAGCCAATCACAGTTTAGTTAGCCTATCATACATCAGCACGCGTTCATTAAGTAGGTTGTGGAGATTAATGGGCTATGTGACAAAGCAATTTTATTCACAGAGTGTCATTCGATTCGGCAATATTTTCTGAGAAATTTTATGGTAACAATACAGTTAAAAAAAATTTTATTCTGTTTAGATGTGCAACTGGTGAATCATGGCAGGATATAATGATGGCATGTAGAGAAGGTGAGATGTGGAATATGTTTTGTTTTAATCGCTTAATAATTTAATTGTCTGTTTAGAGCTTAGTTTTAGTCTATCGTACAAACAACTGTTTTATCAAAACAATCTTCACAAATATCTAATCTTCATAATATTTGTCAGACTAAAACAACTATATGTATGACAAGAAATCACAGATTTAATTTCACCAATATTCTTACTTGCGAAGAAAATTTATATGTATCTAACATTCACTAAATGTATATTAAATTTGTAAAGACTGCCTTGAGATCCATACCAATTGTCCGTAAAACATATAAGCTATACATGATATGTTGGCCAACATTTTTTTTCAGGAAACGTGATAGAACATTCAAGTAAAAAACAAACGCTTTGTAAAAAATCATAATCGAAATTCAGTGTAGTTAATTGCTTGTTTGATGGTTAATGTGATAAGAAATTATCATGTAGACACAGAAGTTATTTGCAGTAATTTTTCACAATTTTGTTTTAATTATCAGGCCAAAAGTGTTCAAAAGATTCTGATGAAACAGAAGTCAATGGATGCGGATCAAAATTAGCCTATGCCTACTTTATTAGTTTTCATGCAATCAGTGCATTTTTAGTACGTTGAAAATATTATTTTATTGCTTTTTTTCCTGTACAATATCATCATTTTCAGTAGTTTTCATGAACGTTAGTTATATAACCACTGGACAGCTATTTTCTTCTAACATGAGAACCTTAATAAGTGTAAACCTACGACCCGTTCAGGGGTCGAACTCAGGTTTTCCAAGTCTTGTGATAATCACTTAACTTTCAGACCACTGGGCCCGCATTCTAAAGTTTACATCTCTAAATTCAATCAATTAACGATATTATATTTGATGGGAAAGAGTTCATTTCGTTGATTCATCTGCTATGGTGTTTCATGTCTTGTGCATTATTTTACCGCATATTAATTTATTTTAAGAACACACAAAAATTCCTATTCACTGAATATCTTTAAAATTAAAAATACCTTCCAGGATAATTTTTAATACTCAATTTTTTATTGGTGTTTCAGCCAATTTCGGAAATATAATTCCATAATTTAGACTACCATTCTAAGTCATAATCAGAATTTTATATCAATTGACTTCCAGGTTATCAATCTGTTTGTAGCTGTTATAATGGATAACTTTGACTATCTTACACGTGATTGGTCAATTCTCGGACCACATCATCTGGATGAATTTATAACAAAATGGGCAGATTATGATCCAGAAGCAAAGTGAGTAAAAACATTTTTGAAATACAGTACCATTCAAGTTTGAGCAAATTTGTAACGAACATACGATTTTCACTCAAATTATTCTTTCTAAAAGTAAAATATACTTATTGGGTTTTTGCAAGTAAGTAAATTAGGCTTATGCTTTACGTGTTTCCATGCTCGTTACATTGCTCCTGAGCTTCGAAAAAATCATATTCGTACAACAACCGAACGTGAAATTGTTCAGCATTAATTTTTTAATAAATATCAACCACTAAGTCAACTGATTCTGAAGGTACTTGAATATGACCCACACACCAAATGTGGAGGCCAGTGATTTAACCCGGTTGTCCGAACCGAATTGGTGGAGCAAAGCTCAAACCCGAGACTTAACAGTTGGAAGTCGACGCTTTAATCAATAAACGACCCTCCAAGTGTAACATTTGAATTACTATTGGACCTAGAAATAAACCCTAGGTTACTGAAGTAGTCAAAGGATAGTAATCGATATGACTTTATCATGACGGTATTGTTACTCCATTTATAATACTTTAATATGCAATATGGTAAAAAGGCTTTATATGGGTAAATATATCATATTTAACACTTTTAGACAGTAATAATATATATGCGCCGGATCAATAAACAGAAATCTCATAAAGACCATAACTTTTGCTAGGTATTTATACCGAGACATAATAGATTAAATGTATCAAATGTCGAATACATTACAGCTCCTTGTAACTTAGTTGTACAGTTGAAATTTTAGTTGTTTACTACTTATTACATCTATTCGAATCTATACACTTATAAATGACTGGTAATTTTTCGTTTATTGTCAATCCCACCAAACACAAAATATTTTGCCATCATTTGACTTTGTTCTTCTTTGTACAGAGGAAGGGTTCGACATCTGGATGTTGTTACTATGCTTGGAAAAATAAGTCCACCACTTGGTTTTGGCAGCATGTGCCCACATACCAGAGCTTGTCATGTAAGCACATTGAAATATTTATTTTCTGGGAATAAATATGCCTGAGGCTTTTATAATTTATAGTCATATTAGATCTGTTATATTGAGTTTTATCCTAAAACCTGATAAATCTACATTGGTGTCACACTGTGTATTAACAAACTTCGTGTTTGTCTAACCCGTGGTAGTGATCCAATATATCGAATATGGTCACTAATCTTGATATTTAGTGGTTTGAAATAGTCGGCAACAAATTATAAACCTAGGTTTCGTGTTTGTTAGCACAATTTAACAAAGTATATTTATGGTAATAATGAAACTAATGATCCGTGCGGCCCTGATAATTTAGTGGTAATATCTCTGACAGTAAAGCTGGGTGTGGGAGTTCTGAATCTCACAAGGTATCAGTTCAATCAAGATTAGAAGTATATCTTCTCGATGAGTTTCAAACGAGTAATAAAACAAATTACAGAGTCTCCTGCCACCTACTTCCAACTAAGTCGATCTGTGAGTCGTCATGCGAATACTAACCACTTTGAAAAAAGTTTACAAAGGCTGCCAAAGTAATAAATTAAAATGAATAAACTCAGTGTGATTGGTATCATGAGTCAGTAAGATTTACAAATAGGATGAGAAAAACCGGTCCACATAGGTTAGTGATCCACATGCTAGTACTGTAAATGCATGCCGTCTTTATCAGCTTTCATGATGAAAACCATTTTTTTTGTCTGTTTAAAGTATGAAAAACATTATTTGAATCAGTGACAGACTTATATAGAATTTTATCTAGTCGTATGATTAACTAAATGTTTCTACTTAGATTACTCTCCATTTGAATTGCGCTGATTATTTTATTTACGTATAAATCACGTCATTGAATTTTTCAAATAAGTTTTATCACGTTTGCATTTTATTTGTGTTCCAAATAAAAACGATCAGGTGGTGCTTCCAATACTACAGTAGGTTTGAGTTACTTAATCTGGATGATTTGAACACGAAAACACTTAAGCAATGGCAATCATAAACTAATGACAATTGGAAAAATTCGAGACTGTCAAAGAAGTTTCTGTCACAAGAAAAAATATATATATATATCACATCGTAAGGATCAGTAATACTGAGATGTATGAAAGTCTACAACAATAATACTTTTTGTTGCTATCACAACTTATTAAGATCATAAAGACGCTTATCTATGTCAACTGCAACAAGAGCGCTTTAACGACTTTTTCATTATCAGTATAGGATTAGGGAGGTTGTTGGGTTTTAATTGAAATCATGAGCCGATCAGTGTAAGACCACTGAAAAACTGGAAGCACTGGATGGCCGTTTTTCCCTGGAGAATGAGTTCTCAACAGTGCGTATCCATGATCCCACACCCGGGAGTCGAACCCATAAACTTCATTCTCGCACGTGAACGCCCACTGAAACGAAACTCAACAGTCTTAATGTCTAACTCCAACCGATCCACGATATTGCGCGACCATTCCCCATTGTCTTCGGTGAGTAACTGTCTCACACCTGACACGGTTAAACGTCACTGGTCATAGCTTTTCACACTGATCGGTTTATGATCTCCATATTTTGGTTATTTGGAAATGGATGGAAATTGCTTGACATTCATAAGGTGAAAGTGTTATTCACATTTACTCGGGGATTTTTTTATTTCGAAGTTTTGTTGTATTTCTGCAAACATTGCTAGACAAAACAGGTTTCAACAAATGAATGGTTGCACATTAATGTGCCAGGATATATATATCCCTATTTTTTATAATTACATTATGTGACATTCGAGATTTCAACCATTAATTACTTTCTTTGTTATTAATTCAAATAGAAACTGGTCAGAATGAATATGCCTCTGAATAGTGATGGAACTGTATTTTTCAACGCTACTCTTTTTGCTTTAGTGCGTAGAAATCTCAAAATTAAAATTCCTGGAGGTAATAATAACATTCGATAATATTATACTCTTTGCATTTCATTTATTTGTTCATCTTTATTGATTTATTGATAAAGGATGGTTTTATAAGTAACATTTAATGTGTAGATGCCTGTTGATTGACATTAGAACTGATATTGAGTTATATGAATATTCATTTCATTTAACTGTGTCTTCTCGAAATGTGATCGCAGTATCACCAACTTACATAGACTGTCCTTTAGCCAATTTTAAAACACTCTGTTGAATGTTATGTATCTTATAGTGCATATATTTGACCGACAATTCAAAACCCTCATTCATGTAAATGGCTGTAGAGATTGTTGGATCTGAAACTCAACACCGTAGTTAGAAAACCATTAAAATTCAGGAACATTGGACTAACACAGAATTGTGGATACTTGATTCAACCAACGATGGATCCTGAAACTTTCAGATCTTGTAGTGGTCGCTTTATTTTCAAACGAATGAATTGTGATCGATGGTTTAGAATTTTAACATCAATCAATTCACGATATCGCACACAAATCGTTCATTTTCATAGGCTATATCTATTTGTCTAGCCAAAGTCCGTTCGTGGTATAAACCTAATATTTTCGTATACTTCTTACTTCGATCCTGTCAATTAATATTAGAAAGTTATCTGGAAAAAATTTCAAAATTTCAGCCAAACCTTTGTCGTATATGCACAGACCTGATTTTCATAGTTGGTGTTTTCAAAATATTTTGGGAAATTTTTTTGTGTGAATAAATAGCGACTACTTTTTTTCTGTATTATTATACCTTCTTGGTTTCTTAAAGCACTAGAACGAAGTGGTTTGTGATCTTGGATGAAAGAGCTAGATGCCTGTGTTACATCACAGATTGACTATACTATTGTTTTGAATTTCAGAGTAACCTATTCATATTTATGTTCTGCAAAATTAAATAAGATTTTTAATATTTTCAGTGTGTTATCATCGGATTTGACAACTTGAAATAATAAATTTTTACACATGTTTATCATTCTTCTGTTGACATAGTTATGACAGAAATATGACTTTTTATTTAAATGTCTCAGTCAGACATGAAAAATATGAAAGCAAGAGAGAAATTAAGATAAATACTTAGGAAGTGATTATCAAACCACACTGATTTTAACATCGCATAGTGTAAGTCAAAAGTGTGAGATAATGTATAATTCTCTAGTTAAGTACAGACGACTTTTTAAATTAATTATGAAAATAATTCTTCGTGTATGTTTCATACAAATTCATAATCCTTCAACACTTAATTTAGACAATTAGCAAATAATTGGAATATTTACAGTAAGTTGTGTTCACTTCACTCCACAGTGTTCTTTGTTATTATTGTTATTCAAAAGTATTAGCCTAAGTCAGCTAAACTTAGTCAGTTATCTGAGATTTAAGCGTATTAAATTTCCTATTCCGCATAAACACAATGTTTTATTATTCATGGGATTTTAAAGCATAATGAACAAGCAACTTGGGAGAACATCTGTATAGTATTATATATTACTGAAATATTTTCAAAGTATTTGTCACTTACACTCTGAAGGTTATCATGTTCAAGATGAAACCTGTAACCTTATATGATGTTTAAGTCAAACAACTGTAGACTTTACATTATGAATGGTATTTAACTATGTATTATCGGACTACTTAAACATTTAACCTAGAAGCAGCTGATAAACAACTGATAAATTTTGTGAATTTTGAAATAAGGGTATTTATATCAGTATATTCTGTCTAACAAACATAAGCTTCTTTGACTAAATAGTTCACCAGTTATGCATATCAAGCAATATTATGTTTTACACTAAAATTTCTTCGTAGCTTTATTGTACATTTCATTCACTTATAATAGATAAGTGAGTTGTTTTACTAAACTTTCATTGGAAAATTATATTTATAATTTATTGTCTAAGTGATTTGTTGATGCTCCTTGTAACTAATCTATTTGCATGTTACATTGCTTTAAGGAGAATGCAAAATATCACTTCTTGCATTCGCTTTCATTTGCCATTTTCTTTTTCTTTGTTAGTCCTTTTTTATTACTTTAACTTGCCATGTTCCATTTTTGTTTTTATCTTACTGTAAACACTAATATTTGCGTACTCACCTGTACCAAGCAATGATACAAGCGTAAAACATAACTGATAACCTAATTAAAATGATCTGAATATTTCTATTTCTGTCATACGGACAGATTTATTTTGTGTTTTACGGAGAAAATAACGATTATGATGACGATCTTTGTCTGTTTGTTTTACTGCTTTGACTTTCTTCGAAAAATATTTTTCCTTATTTTACAAAAAAATTGTAGCTGAAATTGGCGAAAAAGAAAAATCGTTAGACCAGTTGAATGAAGAATTACGTATTGTGATTAAACGTATCTGGAAACGTACTAGTCCGAAATTATTAGATCAAATCATACCACCGAAAGGTATGTTCTATTTATTTATTTATTAGCATAGTTTTCTTAAAAAATCAATTTACACATTAATTGAATCATGTTTCTCAAAAGACAGCTTTACTCGATATTTCTGTCGTTCTTGTTTAAAGTGAGGTCCGGTATATCTATAATGTTTTGCTATCAGATCCCTTATATTTTACTCATTGTAAGTTGCATAAAAATTACTCATCTTTTATTCAGAGTGGCAAAACCTGTTCTTATAATTGTGAATTGATAATTTCTTATACACATAATTCTATTTATTATCTTGAAGAGAGCAAGAACAAAGATTGGTGCAGAATAATATGAATTCATTTTATTTCATTAGGTTCTCATCAGCTGCTTACAACCTATAATATTTGACAATCATCATTATTAATGATATTGACATATTTATAAATATGAGGGTGATTAGAAGTGAATATGTGTATCATGATGTAGCTAAGATCCCGATACAGCTAATGTCATAAAAAATCTTGTTTGGAATAAATAAAGTTTGGGAGGGAATGTTCCAGAATATTGAAATAGTGATAAGAACTCATGGAGTTAACGAACATTAGATGATTGTGTAATGGAGCAACTGAAAATAGATTAATGGTAAAATAGAAAGATATGAATTGAAATCAGTCAGCTATGAATTCAAGAAAAATGACAATGATATAATTAAACTTCAGAAACAGTTGGAATAATGAATGATTTCATAAAGAAAAAGGGGTGTATTGTTACCGGAGCGAAGAAAGATGTATTACTGCTTCTTTTTGGATACATAGATCTGGTTTTAGATATTTGATCACTGCCGCTTCGGAAAATTTCAAAAGGTTGAAGTTTGGTTGTTTGTTAATCGCCTTGAAAGATTTCAGTGTATCGACTTCATGTCCTGTGTCAAGATGTTTTGGGATGACACTATTGAATACTTTCAACCCACTTGACCTTAAACTTTTCGCAATGTGTTCTTTGAATCAAAAGTAGGCTCTCCTTTCTGTCCTACCAATGTAACTGCTCTGACACTTACATGTAAATTTTTATACATAATTGGTGGTAACATGAAAGTGATACCTATCGATCTTTGATTGTGTTGAAGAACATGTTGTTTTTGACAGAACAATCAATATAGCTGCAGGATAAGTTCTTGTCAGTGGTTTTTAGTCTCATATTGATTGACCCTGTGACATTATCACCTTTGAATTCGAGTTGAATGAAAATAGGTTTTTTATTTACCATATTAACTTTATCGGAATCTTAGCTACATCATGATACACATATTCACTTCTAATCACCCTCATATTTATAAATATGTCAATATCATTAATAATGTTGATTTTCAAATATTATAGGTTGTCAGCAGGTGATGAGAACCTAACGAAATAAAAGGAATTCATATGAGTTTGCACCAATCTTCGTTCTTGCTGTCTTTAAAATGATTTCTTATATGGCTAGAATCCATAATCAGTTGCTAGAGTTCAATAGTTTTTGCAATAAATACCTTTAAAAAAAACATAAAACTCATTTATTTTTGTTACTGTTACATATAGGTAGTGATGTTGTCACAGTAGGCAAATTCTATGCCACATTTCTTATTCAAAATTGGTTTCGTGAATGGCAGAAACGTAAAATGATACAAAAAGATACACGATATATTCCACAAATAATGGTATGATTCACAATAATTAACTACATCCATCCATTTTTCGTTGTTGCTTTCACTGAATTTGTAGATTTTGTTTTAAAATTGAGTCTGTTATTGATCTTATAGCTTGTTTTTAATGCTAAAAATGGCCTATCAACTTTAGTCATTTAGTATGATTAATTTCATAAGCGTGGATACTGACCAACGAGGTAGGAAAATATACTTCTGCAATGATATTCCAACACAAATTTAATAATTGTAATATTGAAAAGTGGTTGATAGTTAGTTGGATTTAACATATTGTTCAAAAACTTAGTTGATGGATTTCATTCATCTTTATTTCTAATAAAAAAATCAAGCACATGTTAAAAAGCTTCTCAGCTAATATCTATACAGTATAACAGGATAAAGAAATATTATGGAGTAAAGGGATGGTAATGATCCATTTATTATTTAATCATTAATTTCCACTAGTGAATTTGTAATATTTCAATTCATAAGGAAACCAATTTCGATAAGCTAGGATGAGAACCACTATCGTTTTGAAATTCATCCCGAAAATTGATGATCATAGTGAATTGGGAACTAGGAATATTTGGTGAAAACGCTTTCTAAAAATGCATAACGTATAATATAACTATTTATGTTGACAGGCCGGTGACCGTGCAATGCCACATCAACCTACAATAATTGGATTTCCCAGGCGTTGTTCTTCAGATCTCACTGGTGATGAGATTCAGCGCAGACGTGGCGTGGATAAGGTATGTGTGGTATTTATATCTTCACAACAGAGTTTATAAATCTAATAAAAGTCACAACTTCAAATAATGTTTTGCCTTTGGAAAACGAAGGTAATGGATAATAAATAATTTTCTTTGTATTGCTCGTAAAATATGTTCATAAACCCACTAAGTATATTTTTTGAAATAAATAAGTGGGTATCCTTATATGTAGTCTTTAATGGTGGGAGAAAATCAGAGTATCAGAATATATCTTTAAAACAGACTAACTGATTACTCAGTAACACAGTATGTCATGTCCTCTTTTTTGTTTCAATAGAATTTTACTGATTAAGTTGTAATGTGACCGACTAGACTAAGTGACTCGAGTCTGTTGTCCGATTTCATTGTGTTATGTAGAGGAGAGAACTGTACCTAGGTTTCAAATTAGTTAATACTCATTAAGAAGACCTATCTACAGTGTCAAAGAAATTGATGGCTAGTGACTTAAAATAGTGAGCACACTGAAACGTGATCAGTAGAATTAAATTTACAATGACTGATAGGCATAAATGATGTTAGTATCAGAAGTAATTTTGTGGATATTACAGTAACTTCAATAGTTGAGATCATGAGTAAATTGAAGCTAGACCCCCATGGAAAGCTTGGAAGCACTGAACGGCCGTTTCGTCTTATTGTAAGACTCCCCAACGCTGCGCATCCACGATCCCGCCTCGTAAAATTCAAACCCAGGACCTATCGGTTTTGTGCGCGAACACATATCTTTTACATCACTGAGCCGGCCTATTAGTTATAACCTCTTGATAAGTTAATACAAATATCTTGGTCTTACAGAGGTTTAGTCCCAGACAGAATAGCTCAGTGGCATTGCTTCTGACTGCGATAAGGTGTGATACGAGCTCACTTTTGACTTGAAGTATAAGCTTTTTCATGAATGGTTATACATGCTTCTGACGTGCATTAATTAACAAAAAACCTAGATCCTAAACTTTGAAGATCTGTTGCAACTTTCTAACACCAAACATTTGTTGTATAATTTGAATGAGTTTTAAAACTTTGACTTAAAGTTCTTGATTCAAACTATGAGTACAATGTCTATAGTTTGCTGAAAAACAGTATCTATGGAAACAGTTTGTAACTAAGTTTGTGTAGTGATTTCATATTAATTTTTGTCAAAATTAACGAAAACTGATATTTCTACTTTTAAATAATAAGTGCAATATTCAAAAAATGCCACAATTCTAGAAACGCTCTCCATTTCAATTTTTAAAATACTATCCTTTATTCAATAAAAGCAATGGTTTCTGTCTTTACTACTTAATTAATTGAGTATTTCCTAAATACAAAAAGTTGCTACAAGTTATATATATATTTTTCATTTTTCATTCTTAAAGCGTGATACATCAGGTGGAATTTTTGGCCGAACTTTAAGTGAATGGACTAGACGTAGAAGTAGTAAACGTCCTTCGGGTCGTCGAGACATTAATACTCAGCAAGTTAACGGAATGTATGATATTGCAGGAAATAATTTAAAGAATGGGATGGGAATATGGAATGACATGTTTTTAAATGCACAAGCAGGTAAAACTGCTCACCCAGCTGTTGTTGCACTTATGGAAAAAGAGAGAAAAGACGCTGAAGCTAGGTAAAAAATGTTTACTGCTTTTGAGTTTTAAAGAATTTAGCATCTATTCAAGTTATATTCAACTTCTTGTGAACTTGATTGTTTTGTACATATTATCTGTCGATGAACTACTTTATCCATTGTTAAGCATCCTTTTTACCAAAACCACATACTACTTGTAAAGTGAGACTTTGTTCCATAGCAGTATCCGACTTTGGAGAGAGTATCGTGTCTCTGAAGTTTTTCGTAATGTTGCTAGTGTTAAGGATCACATTGTGCTTGGAATGCCTCAAAAGTCTTACGACGAATGTTTCTTGGTGATCTGCCATTTCCAAGGAATACAGTTCATTAAGTATTCAAAATAAACTGGATACCCGATCTATTAACTTTTCTCTATATTCATTCTTCTCGATAAAGATTCCTTGATGTGAACTATCGTTAAGTTATAAATTAATATACTAAAAACTGCACTAAGGACTTGTGGAATGTTGTTCTTATTGTTTGAAAGATGGAATATACTTTAGTGGTCTAATGAACTGACTGATCTGAAATTTCTTCATAATGTCCACACTTTAGTAAATGCACTGCATGCTGTGGGTTGTTGTTGAAAGTTGTTTTTATTAAATATGAAACAGTTTAATCTAATTTTTCTTTCTTGCATGTGAACTAGTGATGTCTCTTGATAATTTCTACGTGCATTTCAGTTGTGCATGCTGTTAGCTTGGTAATAGTTGAAATCATGAACAATAATAAAAATAGTATTTATCACATAATTCATGCTTCTTATTCAACTGGTTAACTAATAAACAGAATCTGCTTATTCTACTATATAATGGCCATCATAAAATGTTCTTGTTACATGAATAGATTTAAATGTAGTTATTTTAGTTATATTAATATTCGATAGCAACTCAGTATCCGGTAAAAGTATGATATATCAACAACCTTGAAATAAGTAATCAGAATAAAGATAACTTTTCATTTGTTTTGTATGAAATTTGAAGTTCAGTGATAGATCACTTGTACATTGTTATTAACTAGATAAAAATTGACAATAATTGATTTTTGAGATGTCTGGAATAAACAAAAATATCTATTATGCAATCAAAATGGACATTTAGGAGAGTACATAAGCTTAATGATAAAACATACCTACTCCTAAAGCAGATAACATGTTAAAGTGCTTAGTGTAATTCACTGAGTAGTCAAGAGTGTTTAGTGAAGCTATATAATATCCTCTCGTCCTAAGTTTTTCTCCAAATATCAACCGCTAGGTTTTCTTAAATTTTTAAACAGAAGAACGTCAAAACATTGCATTATAACTGATCTCAGTTCATAATATGAACCACAACCCTGATTTGTGAACTCAACACAAAACTATAGCCTTACTCTTAACACCTAGCTAAAGCCTTTCTGCGTTTTTAACCGATGACATATTGTGATGAAAACTCTATGGGATGATAACCTTAATTCAGAATACTGGCCCGACTTGTAATATGTAAAGTTGATGTTTTTCCTTTACTATAAGGTATAATTTATCATGTGAGGAATGATTACTCAGATCCGGAAAGTTATTCCACTATTATTTTACCACTTTTTATTGTTCATTCTTTTATAACTATTCAGCTTTTCTTGAGTGGCTAATAAGTCACCCGAAAGCGTCAGTCTATTTTACTTTTACCCAGTGACATGTAAAAACAACAGTTCTTAAATTAGATTCTTGTCAAGTTTGTGAATGCTTTATTGAAGATTTCTATCTTTCTAGTATTCCCTGGTCGATCCATCTTCACTAATCTTTAAATCAAAGATAAAAACACTAATAATATCAAATAATCTATTGCATGTAAACAATTTATAATTTTGTTTTATTGTATATTGTTTTATTTTGCTTTAGCATGCCATTAATTATATCATCATCTATTCAAAAGAAATTAAAACATTCAAATAGTCAATCACTTGTACACAATCAATCCTATAATAAATCAACAAATCATTATTTACAATCTATTCAAAATACTCATCAGAATACAATGAATTCATTAAATAATAATAAATTTATTCTAAAAAAGCGAATTCCTTCAAATCATTCCATATGTGATGATGATGATAAACATAGACCATTGAAAAAAATTATTTTAAAGCCTAAATATCAATTAATATCAAAAGAAATTAAACAAAATTCTACAAATCCAAAATTATCATTCTGTCAATATTCAATAAATAATAATAATAATAATAATAATAATAATAATAATGATGTTGAATTCCAAATGCAAAATACCAATTTTATTAGTAATAATAATTACAAAATTAATTCACATCCATCTTATCAATGGGATTCAAGTTTATTTTGTTCTGGTCATATGTTTACACCAGAAAAATTAGATTATTTACTTAGAGCCAATAGTTTCCTACAGTAATAAAATTATTATTATTATTATCATCATTTTTAGCATAGTAACAATTTATCGATTAGTTAGTATAAGTAATTAAAATTTTATTTTTACTAATTTGCCTAGTTTTTAATAATGTGATTTGTAAAGAAAAAAAAGAGAACATTTTTTTTTGCTTTGGTTATGTATTCCAAATCGCATGTATATTTGTGTAAATAGTATTTAAGAGAATGAGAGAGATAATTGTTGTTGGAACAGTGGAAATACTAAATGTTGGTATGATGAATATTTTATTGTGAATAAATTTTTATTTTTGGTAAAATGTTGAATGAGTAGAACATATTTGTAGACAGTTCTTTCTTCATTGAATGATTACAATAAATGAATTGTTGAAAATTAAAAACAAACCAGTAGATAGTTATTTCATCATATCTCTCAGTAGGTCTAAACAATCTTCCATAATGATTATTCTCTGCATCAAACTTTAAATCTATAGATCATACAACCAGAAAGATACTTTAAAACCATATTCATCTATTTCTATCAATAATTTTTGTGTTTCGCTTTAAACTTGGTTACCTTCGTTGTTTGATGACTATTATTATAACTTCAGTAAATCCATGTTCTAGCCAGTTAATACGGCTCATATGATTATTTTCTAGTTGATTGATGTAAATTCATGAACAAGACTATATAAAAACTGGACTGATCTCTGCTATTCACCTAAATAAGCGTTAAGGTATTTTTCGTTTGAAGAAATATAAAACATAGAACAACATTCATTTATGAAAATGATGATTCCTAAGCTTTGGGAGATAATTTATGCCAACAGGAGTTAACTCTTCGTTTTAAAACAAGGATATGGATATTTTTCATTGGTTAATTAATATCAATCTTACCACTAGGAGTTAACTTATTATTTAATGACTGTTATTATTTGATAAGTTGTAGCTATATTATAGTACCAGGACAAACAAGATAGATGATCTGTGGGAAATTCCAAAACTAATGATACTTATAAATACCTTTAAAAAAATAACTTCATTTTGAGGTTAAATCACTCAGGATTCATAGAGTAAATTGTGATTATCCCCACATACACTACAAATGATATTGTGGCCATAAACGTTTACGAATCCTGATTCATAAAACAACTCTAGTAGCATATACATAAACTATTGTAAAACTATAGGAAATTATTCATTCATATACTGACCTTCGGTATTTTCAAATAACACTTTCCTTCCTATTAACTTATTAGTGTTACCGTCAAAAATTATTCTGTTTTAGAAATATGGCAAACACAAATCATGTGATCGATGTACATAATGATTCCTCAAAAGCAAATTATGATCCAGAATCTGGCAAACTGATTAATTTGGCCGGTAATATGTTAGGATTTTTAAACTCAGGAAATTATCGTTCATCTGATTCAACTCAAGTAAGTCAAGACATTTGCTGTCTTCAGTTATTATCATTAGACATTACATAGAGTGTTACATCAATCTCATCGGTTGCGATGCACATATATTTACCATACAACTATAAATATCAATGTACAGCTTAAGTAAGTGACTCCGTCGAAAGGAAAAATTCCTTCGCTGAATTCTCTTTATTTTTATTCAGTGTTAGGTTTACTCTTTATATATTTCACGTTCTCCGTTCTTTGACAGATAACTAAGATGTCATCCACATACCCGTTATAAAGGGACATGTTTTCGATTAGATCTTCAGATAGATTTTCAACATGCACTATAAACACGTCAGCTAATAGTGCAACTAACGGACTACCAATAACAACCCCACCGACCTGTCGAAATTATCCACCTTTACATGTCAGTGCATAAATCTTTAAGAATTTTTAAAGGAATAGGTAGTGTAAAGTTGTTCAAACTACACAGTCACATAGATAACTTTGATTCTAACTTTTTATTAGACAAATTACTCAGGTGTTTCTAAGGTAAGTGTAGAAAAAACATAGTACAATGTAAATTACAGAAAAATAGCAGAAAACTATGTATACTGTAGTTGTAGAATAAACATTTCACAAAATATAGATTTGCGAGTACAACCTGATGTGACAGGACATAAAGGAAAAATCAAATCAGGGGGAAAGTCAACCATTATGACTATGATTTTGATTGTACTAAAAATATTCTGCATTGTTTCCTATGTGCTATTCAAACTTGTGTTAATTTAATTCGGTTATTTATTTACTCTTAAGAAGTGCCTTACATTAAGATATGAAACTTCAAAAAAAACAATTTTCTACTCATTAGGATATAATAAAAAAATATATTTACTATCAATCATTATAATATTGCAAATATGCGTTCAGGCAGTAGGTAACAGGTTTGCTGATACCAAATACTACTCAGTCAAATTGTTAAAAACAGAGTAATAATCTGACTGTACATTTATCATATAAAAAGTAGTCTATGCATATATTATTTGATCTATTTCCTCGGTCAAATAAACCCATATCAGTTGTCTATTTTTTCGCTATACTTCTTCGGATTCGAAGTTTATATTACCTGGCACAAGTCAGTGAAGCATGTCATCAGATAAAATAAATGACAGGCATAACATTGTCTATTAAATAGGCTACAAAATGACCATATGTCATAGTGTAACCCATTTTGTGACATAAAAATGTTTGTTGTTAAACTCTTGAAGATTATTCTTATTGTTGTTCAAAAAATGTTCTTGTAAACTCAATCGGTACGTATAATTAAATTCATTCGATAGTCTTCATGAGAATACTTCTGAAGTAGGAGTTTTACTTACTTTTATTGTGCTGTTCGATTGTATATTCTAAAGTTCATTGGTAAAAGTTTTAAAGCAGAAAATTTATTAATTTCTAGCAATTTGTATAAAGATGAAGCAGAACAAAATTGTTCGTAAAGTTAGATCTCAGACAGTTAAGAAGTTTCCCAATATTTTGACTAAAACAGACGTTGAAATTGAATCCAAATTTTATATAACAATCAAGTTATGATAAATGAAGAGGTTGAGAAAATGATAATAGTTTAGTATTATGACAAATACTATGTATAGAGGAAGCTCATTGAATATAAAGTACCAATAATTTAGTGTTCGATAATGAACCTGATAGTCCTGGATTCCATCCTCGGTGGGGTCGGAGATACGCACTTCTGAAAAGTTTCATATAAGGATAAAATGCCTATTTAATTTTAGTTTGTGATGCAAATCATCAGGGATATTTCACACTTTGGCAATAAAAAGTTTGATTGCAAATGCTCATTTTAATCTATTGTTTCTTTCAACCAAATCTATCACTTTTAATCATATATACATAAACAGATTTTATCGTTTAAAAATTCACTAAAAATAACAAATACTCTTTCATCATTTATATCTTTTGCTTCCAGTACTTAACCGAGAATATTTTCATAATTATGATTAGTAATGTTTGCGTTTACTTTGGATGTATTCAACAGCATTTACGTTGTTTTTTATCAAAGAAATGTATCCAAAATAATCTTAACAAACATTTATTAGAGTATATAATGAGTTTACTTCTTGTAGTTCTTTGATTTCGATAATAATTTCAAAAAAGAAGACGAAGTGATGACAGCCACAATGGTATCTGCAATCTTTACTCTCTTTTAATCATAGGTTTTTTTTACAAATGAAATGTGATCCTAAAATTCATTCTCCATTCAGTATAATAGAATTTTGGATTTTGAAATGTAATCTCTCCTTATCCTAATGATAGTTTACACCTTTCTAGAGATTATTTATGATTACTATCTAGTAGGCTGTGTGGAGTAAAGATCACCTCGTGATCCTGTTTTAGTATATTATCATTTGTTTAAATAGACTAAGTGATAATGTTTATTTTGTTTTAGGTTTAATGACATTTTCACACTAAATAATTCTGATTAATTTGACTTAAATATATTTTAGCATATTCCCTAAGTCAATCTACATGTCATTATCTTATTTCTTTTATCTAGCATAAAGATATGACAACAAGTAATACGCCATCAGTTGAAGATTTGAATACAGCCCGTAAAATATTTGTAGCTGCTAGACGTGAATCCCTTTTATCAAATAAAAAAGAAGTAAGTAAAAATTTAAATGACTTTCCTCTATAAAGTATAGAGGTTTTCAGAAGACTAAAAATAGTCTCTTTAATTTACAAACCTTTTATGGGAATATCTTAAATGTAAGAAATGAAGACATCTCAGTTCAATAACAGTTAATGAAATTGAATTTCATTGAACTGATATAATATGAACAACTGAAATACCAAAGATCTAGTTTAGAATAAGTTAATGTTGACAATTTCATGTCATTATTTCAAAAATTTCACCACCTAATTGATTAGATGAGAAATCATGACAGCTGAGACTATCGTGTATCATAACTTTAAAAATAAACAAAATTATCTAAATAGTTTGTTTATAATTATATTTAACAATCAAGTACAGATATAATGTTAGGATATAATTTAAAAAAAAAAACAAATTATTGCAATCTTTTTGATGATTATACTGTGAAGGTGTTTTTATTTTACTCTCAAACATATGAGATTATATTCATGAATAATAATTTTTAAGAAAGAACTTTGAATCCTTACAGTAGTTAAATGAAAGTTCTAATATTCAGTGACTCGGTGTATCGTATTTCTTCAGAGATAGTAAATAAATAAACCAAATAAATTAACACAAGTTCATATAGTATAAACGAGCAAAATAAAAATATTTGGTACAATCAAAAACCAAGTCTGATTAAACTAATGTCATGTCACTCTGGTCAGGGTAAAAATGTGATATTTGTCATTTGATAACGTAAAGTTAAATTTGTATACGTGGTAATGGTGTAAGATGTGAATAGAATTAGTTACGGTAGTTTGGATAAGTGGTCCAAGTTGGATGTATGGTAAAGCGTTTTTTTCGATTATGGGCAGTAGGATTTAACAATGCAATGAAGGCTTGAGCCACTCGCCTCTCATTATAGTAAGAAGACGTCTATGAATCATTTCGATATTTGTAATATCGATATTAATATTTGATGTTAATTGAAGTTGCCATGACCTGCTGTTGCTGATTTAAATTGGGTTTTTTTAAGTTCCACTGGATTGTAAGGTAGTTTTTGTGTAAATTAGATGTCATTTAACTGGAGTTTGGATTCCATTACTCTCCAAATAAGAAAGAATCATAAGCAATACAACCTACTACGTAGACTCAGTTTTTTGTTGACTGAAAGAGGAGTTCTTGTTTTTGTGCTAACTAAAGCATTTCAAAAGGTGTTAGTTGCTTTTTAGTATGCTCTAATTCTATGCAATTGTTAGGATTCTTTAGAAACTAGATGTTCTACAACTGGGATGTTAACTGAATTTTTTTGCCGTTTAATGATCATACTTGATTGTGTTCGAATATGGGTTTGTAAAAAACACATCATATGGTTAGTATGATATGCTCCATAGGAGCAAGTGAACTAAAAGATGCACAGTGATGTGGCCTTGAGCGGAAATTCATCCTTAATAAACTCTCAAACCTAGAATCAGCTGGAAAACAAAACTCTCAGCTCGTCTGACTAAAACCTCTTCTTTGAATATTTCGATAGTCGGTGTCTTGCGATCTTTGGAACCATATCATCTTTGAACTCAATGTAGTGGTTCTTGAAATTAAGTATTTTAACTTCGTAGTCAATGGGCCTGGCAGGAAATTCATTTTCCATAAGTATTTATCAAATCGTGTTTACTTTTAAATGACTTTGGTATCTCTAATAATGACGCAAAAACTCCATATTTTATTATAGATCACTATGAGCAAAAAATAAATTTAAATATGACTGTTAGGTTTTCTTAGATGATATCATTGAATAGAAAGTTTTTTACGCCGAAATTTCTCTGTTTTTAATGATTCTATTGGTTTATTTTGTTGTTTCATTAGATGTTTGCTCACTGTGTCTTAAAAATAAACAACAATAAATCTTTTGATAAGAATTTCTAAGTTTACTTTGTTATACCATTGAGTTTTGCGTTAATATGATTTCTAATCTTCTAAGTGATTATAGTTTTTGAAGTAAATTTGATCCTGTTAGTCAGTCAACAGTTGACTTATTAGTTAAATAACTCAATTTTCAGCTTATATTTTCAAGATTTAAATCTAGTTACACATACCCTTGACTCATACATCGACTGTTCTGATCGTAGTCGAATAAATGAACTAATAGTTGAGGTATGTGTTACCCTGTAAATATATTCATCAATTACATTTTTAATTTTATTATTAACTGATTAAGATAAACTCACTTACTGATCGATTAACTATTCTAATAAATAATTTAATTCGATTTTAATATATAAATGAAATATAGATGTACATTTCTGTTACTTTGTGAATTGTTTGTTGTAAAACTTCTTAAAGTATAACCTTCTTTAAAATTATGCTAATTTTGTATTTCTCTTCCTTTCTCTTTATTATTAATTAACAGACATATTTCTAGTTACCATAGAATACAATTTCATAGTTATGAATCATATTTATCATCAAGAATGATATTCACATTACAATAAATATACTGTCTCCAGTTAATGCATTTTTTTTAGGTTTTACAAAAAATAACAGTTTATTGTCTTTCACAGTGTAATTTATACACTTCAATAATTTCATTAAATACATATACATATATGACAATTTTCAATACAGAAACTTTAATGTCAAACAATATCAACAATCAGTTCGTAATATAAAATTAGTGTATTTATAAAAATAAATAATTTCAATCTATTCAACCTTTTTATTCATTGTTTCTTTTCTATAATGAATGATAAATGAACTAAGCTCAGCCATACACATACACATACTCTTTTTTTCCTACCTTATTCAATGATTTCACTTCTTCTTCTTCTTCTTCTTCTTTTACCTGTCTTCATATGCATATATAGTCTAAAGTATTCATATTCTTCTAGTTTGTTGATCAAAATAAGAAGAAACAAGTAAACACATTTTAATTTCATGTCATTTGTATGTAGTTTTAATTTATAGTTTATTTGATTATGTTTTATGCTTATTTATTCTTTCACTATGTACAGTTATCTTTTGAGCATTCTTATATTATAGAAAAGTAATTTATGTAAACCATCTTCTATTTGAAGTTAATTTAATACTATTTATAAATTTAACTTTATTCTTCATTGATTTTTCATTAATTTTGCAAATATTATGGTTAATTCTTGTTTATATAATAAGTAAATACATTCATTAAAATTACATACATATGATCCACTTTCTACTTACTTACTTACTGACTTATATACTTACCTTGCAGGTTTTTTTTTGTAGAAATAATCATTCATTTTCATTATTTTCTTTTTGTTTTCCTTTTATTCCATCTAATAGTTAGTTACTGGTGTGAATGAATTAATCATTCATGAAAACAATGTTGACTGTTTTATGTGTCAAATTGATGATTGACTATTTTCTATGAATGTCTATGTATGTTATGTAATTCATTTTATTCTCTTTTTCATATGTTTTTAGCAATTAAATAAACTATTTATGTATATTAGAAATAATTTTATATTGTTGATAAATTCCTTATACTTTTTCATCCATTCATTTCAGAAATTAATAATAGGGCTATCAAAGATTTCTTTCGTTTACTTCTTTATAGTAAATCGTCTAATTCATATAACTTTTGAACAGTTCAGATTTCTGATTTATGTAATTATTGAACATTAAATTGTTAATCAGTGATTCTTTGTCAAGTTTAATTATATGATCTTGAAGTATTTCAAATAAATATTACAATACTCAATAGATTCGAACAATTTCAGTGATCAGAATTTCTACTAAGACTGAATTCAAGAAGTATATTGAGGTTTATAAGTACTTAGTGTTGAGGAAATAATATTTCAAGGAATACAAGAGTGGTGTCTTTTAACAGTTACTTAATCAGTAAAAATTTTATGCAAAACTCAACTTATAAAATGAAATGATAGGGTAAAGAGACTATATATATATATAACTGGAGTTACTTGTGAGTTGTTGGTGGCTTCGTGATTAATCAGTCCGAAAATAACTCTGCTATTATTGGAGATAATCGGTAATTCTAAAATGAGGAATATGATCCAAGATTAAGTTGTATGATAACCATGTAATGTTGACAATCACAATCCATAGGTTTATACAAAAAGGAAATTAGAAACCTGTTAATATGACAGGGAATTGAGTAGGGACGAGAAGTAATATATGACATGGTGCATTTTCTCATAGTTAATTAATGTAACGTATGAGCAGTGTTAATTCAATCTCAAATTTAACAACAATTTATGTTCAATAACAATGATTTCATAATTCTAACTATTAAAAAAACGTGAATAATAACAAGATTTTTTTACAGATCAGGTTTTGTATTGACCGTTTTTACAATCTTTTTAATATATTTAAAAAATGCAATGAAAAGACATCGTTAATCAAAACCATATGATAAACTTTGTCTTCTCATTGTATTACCTGTAGTTGTTCATGTTCAATTTCTAAATTCTAATTCATACTGTCTTGCTGAATATCTGGTTTACCAATTCATCTGTTTAAAGAACGAATATGTATGTACATTTGACTTTTGAAATGAAGACTTCATTTCTCCTGTCTTCTGCCAAAGTTATAAAGTGTTTGAAAAAAAACTACACAGTATTTTTAGAGTGACACTAAAGATGAACTTGTAGGTTTTAAACTCACAGTTAAACAATGTGTACACAATCCACTACAATAATGGGTCCTTCCTTAAAAAAAATGAGAAAAATGTTTATACGTTGGTTTCAAGTAGCTAAGCTAGGTTTTATTGATTAAAAGTTGATCCACCCATTCAAAATGAGAGCAAAGCGTAAGGTTAACCATGAGAAAATTGAAAAGAGAAAACGTAAGGGTATGAAATGAAATCTTGAAACTTATCTTTATATGTGAAGCTTTTAATCACTGGATGAACGGAGAAATGATACTGTACACATTGAAGATTGAAAAACGACACTGAGAAACAACCAGGCTGTTACAGGGATTGCGATACCAGAGATGAACTGGCTAAAATCGGAGACATAGCGAAATATCCTGACCACAAAACTGACATTTATTGCAAATATGTCAAATACATATATTTATATACTCGTTTCGGAATGGATGATCTAACCTAGCAAATGTCTACAAAATGCATTCAACCAATTCTGTTAGGTCACTCATACGATATTCAGTGGTTAATTCGAATACTCCATATGCGTATCCTCATAATTTACATTTGTTCGTTTTCCTGTTCACCTATTCATCTGTACATTACATAAGGTTCTTGTGATAATCTGTGAATATTTGAGACACGATGACCAAGTAAGACTCGTAACTCATTTCAAAACAGTGAAGTTCAGATCTAACACATGTTACCCTGGATTTGTTTTACTATAACACAACTTCTGGATACTCTATTGGCATTATCGAAATAAGTCCAATACATTTACAACAATGTCTAATTCTAATCTTAATCCAACACTACTTTTACTTTGATCCAAATGTATCTATTTATTTCAGTTTTAACTTGATTCTATTTATTACTATTGTAATTTCATTTAACCCAATTACTTAAATATTCATCCACAAACATTGCTATTTGAGTCCATGTCCAATTTATTTGTCATTGTTCATGGAGTCGGAGATAATGAACATATGTGAACATGGTATTTGTACAAATTAGTGATTCCCTTGTACTTGATACCCAGGTGATTATGAATTCCAAATATATTACTTTCATTTGTACTCATCAAGTTCTATTCACTGTAAATTGCACTATTTCGGGAATTCCTAGTTAGTAAATTAATTCGAATGCTTCTAATTATTATACTGAAGCGCGAGTTGATGAAACCGAAACACGATAACTGAAAAAAGAACATTCAAACACCTTGATTAGTATTTTGTTACTTCCAGTGTCAGTCGATAAAGAGTAAGAAAAATTAGAATATTCGGAAATACGCAAGGATCTTAAAAGCCACTAATCCCATCTTTATTTTCAGTTTTATGGCTTGAGAAACAGTTTCCAGAGATTTGCATAGTTGACCAACTTAGTCTTGAAGAACACTCAAGGCTGGCTGTAACTGCAATTTATACAGTATTTTCAGTGGTCCAGACTTAAAGAACGAAACTATACTACAGAGTTCAAGTCTGAATTGTTTTATTAGTGTGCTAGTCAGACTTAAAGTCATTAAAGAGGCATTCAGCTAGGGGATATATTGGGCAGTTATCAAGATTACAGCCCATTTCCCACTCTGCTGTGAGATTGGACTCAACTTTTAGATAGCACAAAAGTTACGCTGTTGTGTTTAACGACTGCAAAACACGGCATGACTGTAAACGTTCAGAAATGTCAGATTGGAATCGATTTTGTTGGACATGCTATTGATGCTCAAGACATCCGACCTTTGAAGAGTGGCAACCATCCTAACTTACTCAGAACCGACTGCAGTCAGGAAATTAGGTATGTCCAACGACAGTCCATACCGAACAGCGTGTCTCTTATGAAACCTAATCAACTTCGTGAAAATGCAAAACTCATCAGTTTGGACGACAACACGAAACAAGCATTCTCCACAGTTAAAGGACCTGTCACGAAGGCAGAGAATCACACCACCCATTGATATCGCCGTAAACAGATACGACTCGGCAAACACAAAAGTCATACAACAATCGGTAAACACGGTTGCAAGACATTCAGTTATGGCATAGAACTATCAAAAAGGAACTTCTAGCTATGTATTGTGCTGTAGGGCATTTTAAACACTCTGTAGAAGGCCAAGAATTCACTCTGTTTACCAACCATAAACGTCTCACCTTCGTTTTACGCTCAGCTTTAAACAAGTGCTCCCATCGAGAGTCTCAAAGACTATACTAAATTTCTCAGTTTACTTAAAATATATGATACATTTCTGGGGCAAACAATTCAGACTCAGACACCTTGTCTCGTATAACTCCATTTAGCAGTTCCCAAGGAATCAACATTTAAAACTCGCTCAGCTCTGGAAAAAGACACTGATCTTCGGCACGAATAATTCCAATGATCCTGAAACTACAATTGGAAAAGATTGAAACATATGAGGGAACTATATTGTGTGACGCATCTACAGTTAGGGGTCGTCCAATCGTTCCGAAACTAACAACTCAATGTCTTCAACACGTTGCACAAGCTTTCTAATCCAGGTGTTCAAGCAAACATCATAGCAGTATATTTTGTGTTCACCTAAAGTTTCTTCCACTTGGCCAAAGCCAACCTGCCTTGCAAAATATTATACTCACTTCGATTACCTCTTGAAACGGAATACAAAGGACACTCCAATTTCTTTATTGTAAAACTGAGTACCATAACATCGATAAGAACGGAACTAACGATAGAAGCAGCTTCAAACATCTCAAAGCCGCGTACTTAGAAGGAGATTCTAATAATGCTAACTTTCCTACTGCATAACTGAACGACACAATTACGATACCTCACCCGATAATCGACAGTCGCGACAAAAATTCGTTGGCATTTGACAGCCGGATTAAAACAACGCTTTCTGGAAGAAGGGTAGCATTTCTGGGACACATGAACGTCTATTGCATGTGAGACAGGATATAACATGTTGTTTTGTCTCATTTTTCTTTTTGTACCATTGTGTCAAAAAAACCCAGACCACAACCTAAATTTCGCTAATGTGCTTGTATATATATATATATATATATATATATATATATATAAAACTTTTGTTACCTATTTTTTCTGTCGCATGTTGCCGGCCTACTGACAATAATTTCGTGTTTGACCAAGCCCAAGGTCCTGGTATGGTTCAGCGTGTGACTGTTAACATTTGACCGTTTTCTTGAAAACATTTCTGAGCCCCCTACAGTTAGATTTTATTGCAATAAACACAAAAATAGCTAAGCGATTTTTTACTGTAGCAACCTGCAAATAGTGTTATCCAGGCAAATTAGCGAGGATCATGTTCATTTGTTCAGTTTGTAACTTCGTTGTAACCCGTTATTTTAAGGATTATTTGTATGCAGCGTACGACTGTCCCCAACAAAGAAAAACCCAGTTATTTTAGGAGGGTGAACGTGTTGTGCTTTTTATTTTAATGCCAGTTTTCTAAATATCTACACCTTCCCTAATGTTGTCACCCCAATATCACTCTCTGCCATAGGGATTTCAAATCGGGGCTCGCCTTGTGATAAGCAGTGATCTGTCTACACCTAAATTCTTTCTCAAATTTCCTCCACAAGTTGTGTACGGATTGCTGCTCGCCAGAATGAGTCATTGCTAAACAGTCCTGGCCCAAGTATCTAGACAGCTGTTTATCAATAACTGTACTTTTTATGATATTTGTGGTAGACGATCAAAATCCTTACCCTCAGGCTGGTTTATATATATATTCTAACTAGTTGAGCCTTTGGCTAAGTCTGGTTGTCAGGGAGTGTTATTTTAGTTCATAATAGTTCGCTTATATATTTCATTCATATCCCCACGCTTGGATAAGATGTATCACTGAATACACATGAAAATGTTTTCCTCTATTTCTCCTAACCATTTAAATGTCAGTTGTTAAGACAGTTAACCAGTAGTCTTAAAGTGTACACGTATTTGGTTGTTGATTTCGTCTCTCCATGCTGACTTCTTCATCTAAGTTCGCTATCAGAATAAACCGTCCTTCCTACATTGTATTAATTTTTAATGGTCATACATCGTTATGCAACTGTGATAATGAAGAACGTCTACGTCGATTGTTGTACGAAGTATTTGAACAGTGATAAAACATACTCATTTTGTTCCTCAACCCAACTTTATTAAGTACTTCACTCATCGGTTAAACATTTTTACAAAGCTGTTACTATGCCTCCGCATAAGGTCTGTTCCTAATGTATCTGCCTGGACGCCTAATTAAACAACTTGTTATGGATGGCGTAGTGTTGTTGAGGCATTATATAAGCTAAACGTTCTTAGCAGGTTGCCTCCTATTCTCCTTTAAACTCACGAATACGTCACAGGTGGTGAAGTCATTCTTCATAAAGTATTGTCTGTCAAACTTTCGTGCCACACTATTTCATATCTCAAAATTTATTCCAAGAAATCTATATCCTATTTCTTTGTTCGAGGTATAAGCAGATGTAGGTCTTCAATAGCGTCGAATAGGTCTCAGAAGTAAGT